CAAAAAGTACTATTGATACTGAGTCTTCGTCTCCCTCCCCTGCTGAACTTCAGAATACCTTAGCTAGTTATTTAGTTTAAAAACAATCCCCCCTCTCACACAGAGAAGGCAGCCTCTCTCCTGGCAGCAGGTAATTTCCTCCTAACTAGGAAAGTGAGGGGGGAGAACTGAAGAGGGAGGAAGAGAGACATGGAGTAATATGTCAAGAGGAGACAGACAAGGGAGTAGGAGGAGAAGGAAAACGGACGGAGAGACGTAATGAGGGGTAGAGATGAAGGAGAGAGAGAATGAGGGGGAAAAGAGAAGAAAAAGAGGCAAGCATGGGTGCCTGGCAGCCCTTGGCAGAGGCGTTCAATGATTCATGGACTTACTCCAGTGATATCAGTGGGCCTCCGTTAGTGACACACACACACTCACACTCACACAAACACACACACACTCAGTGATACATGCAAGCTCCGAAACTTCAGCGAAGAGCTGTGCATTGCTGTTTGTGTTAAATCTTTAAATGCATTTTAGAGTGTGAAGTTTGACTTTCCCTCTTGTCCTTAAGAAAGAGGTGAAGCCAGTTACTGAGGGCTGTGTGTGGGTGTGTGAAATGAAAGTAGAAATGGTTTGAACGCTGTTGTTTTTCTCCCCGTGTGTTGCCTGAAGACGTGCCGGGGGATGGAGCGCTCTAACACAAACATCTGTTTTCTCCTTTTTTTCCCCCCAAAACCCATAACAAATACCAGCCCGGCACATTAGAAGAATCTTTAATATGCGTCACACACGTCTCCTCCTCTAACACAAATCACTCGCCCCATTGTAATCCCTTTACCTGATAACAAATCTGAATACTGAAGCAGGGATATTATCCGTGGAATTACATTCGTCTGGGGTTTGCTCGACAAACACAGGGTGGGTCTCTTACTGAGAGAAGCTACGGTCAGTTCTGTGCGAGGGATAATCTCTTTTTAGACGCCTACAGCCGGCATGGGGACGTTTTTCTGGCACGCCGAAGAGGCTTGCTGCAAAATGAGATACAAACCATTTGACAAAGAGTGACGCCTTCTCTTACTGAATGATTGATGTCGCCAAATTAAAGAAGCTGCGGTACTTTAAAGACGGTGCTGTAATCCTCGGCTGACAAAATGATAGACTGGATCTTCATTGTTTTAGGTATACAGGATGATAAACTTGAGGTTTTTTCAGTCCAACATTTGAAACACAGCTTCTTAAAAGATTGAAAAGAATGTTATAATTTGAAAGTATATTTTCACAAGTTTTGAAAGCAACATTGATCAATCACAACATGTTTGAATAAGCATGAAAGGACTGCGACTGTTTTATTCCATTGCCCACTAACAGCTTATACTTAAAAGTATTGCAAACCATTCTCTGAAGCGTACCAATCTGCTTTTAGAGTCCTTCCAAACCTTCCAGGTAACCACTGGTTCAATCCGTTTCAGAGCATTATGACATTTGTACTGCAGCGTCACAGAAATAGGCTGCTGGTGCATCATGGGACGGCTGTGGCTTTGGATAAAGAGAAATTTAACTTTTGATGTGTTGCTCCTCAAGTCTGCGAAGGCATGACCATCAGTGTTTGAATTTGTGTGTGAATGTTGAATATGATAAAAACAAATGCCCTTTGAGTGGTTGAAAGAGAAGAAAGCACTTTATAAATGCAGGATTATTGAATGCACCATCAAACAGTCTCTGCTTCTGCCAAACTGCCCCACCGTGCATTGGTCGCGTTTACACCGTTCAAACATCAAGGCTGAGATTGTCGTTTTTGTTGAATTTCTAGAAAGTGTTGATATACTCATTTTGAAGGCTTCAGTTAGTGATGCAGTTAATCTGTTGTGTTGAACTGCAAGGTGTTTCTTACGTTAAGACTCTCAGGTGGATAGAATATTAGAAAACCCTGAAAGTAAAATGCAGCTCTCTCTCTCTGATTAACGTGTTGTTACAACTGCCTTGCAGAGTTTTCTCATATGCAAATAAAACATTCGGTATAACTCGCATACAATTATCTGTGGCCTTAGGGTCTAACAAACATGGTAAATGCATACAATTTCTCCTAAAACATTTTTTTTAAAGTCATGTGACTTGCTTGTTGACTGGCGAACAGTCTTCTTCTTCTCTGCCCTTGCTGGAACATCAATGCTATTGATTCCACATGCTACCTTTAGGTCAAGGCCACTCAGACTGTTTGAATGAGCTTAGGATCAGGAAGGTTAGCTAAAGTGAATAGACCTTTACCTTGGAAAAAAGAGACTTCTTATCTCAGTAGAGCTTTCTTAGATAAGAAGTATGAAAAATGTTGATATTGGAGACCAATAGCTAGATTGATTGCCATCACTTTAATCACAGTCCAACCTGCTTTTCACATAATAAAAGCAGACACAATTAAAGAAATCAGAGGAACATCATCAGGTAGTTTAAGCACTTGAACAGATGCTTTCCTTTTGAAGGTCTCAACAAAGAAAAGTTAAAGAAGAAAAGAGTCTACACAAGTTGGGCAAGTTTATATAAATGTTAAGCAGTGTCCGTTGGTCGTTATTTGAGGAAAACGTATTTACCATCTTTTCTCTCATTTGCTCTCTAGTCATCCCAACATTTACACCGAGAGAATCGGGAGCATCAAACGCACCGCCGAGCTCATTTCTTTTTAATGGAGATGTCCACGTGAAGACTGACATGAATATTACATTCCACAAGCCCTATTAATATGCTAAGGCCAGTCTAAATGTTTTAATATTCCCAGTGTCAATGATTGAGATTTTGTCCATGGGCAGCATCAGATCATTCGTCAGAAATGTATTCTCTGATGTTCAGGAAGTGGGAGGATTTTAAATCGGATGCACCGTCGAAATAGGACGGGATTTCCCATGATGCACTACTGCCACATGTGCTTGACCATCCCTCCCTGAGGAGCTGAAGTTCCCATTTTTAGCTTGAAAAGCGACTTACGTGTGTGGAAGGTGTTTATTTCTTTCTTCAAACCTGTCTTTCCGTCTCAAAAGTCCTCAAGCATGTCAGACACACAGACACTCACTCCGGAAATTATTCTAAAAATCCTCATCTGATGTTCCACTGAGCACAGACGCGTGGAGCAGCGGCCACAGCGATAAAGTTGGCGTTTCGAGTGACTGCACTCGGCAATTTAAAGCCGGTTGTGCGGCAGTGGCGGCGGACGTCGTCGTTGCACACACACACGTGCGGCATGTTGGAAAGGAAGATGGATCGGAGTACAGATTGTAAGTGACATGTTAATTTCTTCTCCGTCACTCACTATACGAGGCGTCTGTTATCAAAGTAAAGGGACACGAGCCCTAGCCATCAAGGCTCCTCTTCTTCTTCTCTTCTTCTTCTCTTCTTTTCTCATTTCTCCCTGATTCTTCTCTCGGCTTCCTGTCGTGGAGCGTTCAAGGGCTGACTGTGATCAAGGAGAAGTTTAATGTCGCTTTCAGCTCACCCGCCCTCCTTCTAGGGATCTGTTTGATTCCTCCCCTCGCCCTTCAGTACATGACTACTCTACAGAAGACCCCCTGGAAGCTTCTCACCTTGAAGGTCAAACCACGAGTTAAGACACTTGTGTGAAGATGTGTGTGTGGGGTGCTAAAGAAGAGTAAGAAGTCACACTATGTTTTGACTTCCTTGTGCGTTTCATTATTTACCAGCAAAGGCAGCAACTTCAGGAAGTCACCGTTAAAATATCGCAATAAAGTCCTATTAAGGAAAGCAAAACTGTCACTTTGTCAGGCAATGGAAGATTGCTTACAGAGCAAGATTGCATACAGTATATGCTACTGTAAGTGCAGAAAAACTGCAATCACTAATTATTTTAGACTCTTTGTCAAAAACGGACTCATCATGACTGTCCAGTTGAAACAACAGGGTCCGCAAAAATGTAACATTGTAAACTTAATCAAAGTTTTAGGTACAACAACCTGTACATGCCGCGACATCATCATTTTGAAACATTTGACTTTTGCTGTGTGTTTGCGGGTCGTTTGCTGTAGTTTGAGAATATCTTTTTAGAGCGCACTATTATGCGCATTTTCAGGTTCATATTGTATTCTGTGAGATGTCTCCATGCTTTAATGTTCAAAAAGGTCTTTACTTGTCTCATACTGCCTGTGCTGCAGCACCTCTTTTCACCCTCTGTCTGAAACCAGAGCCCAGTCTGCTCTGATTGGTTAGCTGGCCAGCTCTCTTGATGATGATAGGTCAACTGCTCACAGATGTCCCGCCCCCTGGCCCGTCACGTACAATGTGTTACAGCACTATCAAATATAAGCGTGACATAGTGATGTCACTATGTTACAGAAGTAAACAAAGGAGTCTAATGGAGGCGTTTCAGGCAGGGGGGGGAATGGGTGAGAGAGACATTCCCACAGAGAACACACTAAAGGAATCTTTGTGTTGAGAGGGTTGAGAGTGTTTCGTTTGGAGCAGCAGTTATTATGCTCCAAATATCTGGAACAAACTACCATAAACATGCAGGTCCGCTGCAACTCTTACTACTTTTAAATCCAGGCTGAAGACTTTTCTTTTTGCCGCTGCTTTTAATTGATATATTCATATCTTAAACTGCACTCGTTTATTATCTTTGCTTTTTAATGCCATTTTCTTAATGTCTTTCATTTTTGTAAAGCACTTTGAATTGCCTTGTGTTGAAATGTGCTATATAAATAAACTTGCGTTGCCTTGCCTTATGAGCACATTAACACATTTTCCATGAAGCCTGCAGTGTATTGAAGTTTGGGAATACTCAACATAGCACTGTAGTTAAACAAGTGTTGTAGGTTGTTTACTATGTGTGCTGTTTGGTTGTGAGTTCTTCTGTTTAGTGTTACTTCACTCAAATCCCATTTCAATGAGCTGCAATATTATTGTAAAGGTTAACAGCCAGAGTCGAAGAGAAACGCATAAGATTGTCCCTTGATGTTGTCTGTACTGATGGTGAATGGACTAACCATTTATCTTCCCGTGTGTGTGTTTGTCTGCAGGCAGCCCTGGTACTACGGCTGGGGCTTCAACCTGCCTCGGGGTCAGGCTCTGCTGGACAAGTGGAACCAGATCCCTGACAACACAGACATCCTGGTCACACACTGCCCCCCACTGGGTAAGACACACATTACACTGAACACACACACGCACACACAAACACACACACGCACAAACACACACACCGCTGGCAATCACACCAGCACTGCCAGATTTAGAAGCCGCCCTTTACATTTTCAACTGATGGGCTCAGAGTAAATTGCTTTTGTTTGCTTAAACTAGAGGGGAATAGTGGGATTTTGGTGAGATTATGACCCTCCTGGCCTAAATCACCAACCCAGTCTCACGGCATTTCGTGTTATAGTCACAGAATTAATCTATTGATTCGTGTTCACCAACACGATTTCCGCATTTTTTTCGTGTCACACAGAACGATTTTAGAAGCAATGTATTTCTATTGGTAGTATGTTTCGTGCCTGCACCAAATAATAACAAATTAGAAGGAAAAAAAGATTTAAAAAATACAGATTTCAGTATTCTGAGGCTCTGAGCCCCATTTCTTTTCCTCGCAGACGGCAAAAAAAGTCTGACATTATACCATTTAAAATAAAAACAATAATTGTGGCTTGATATTGAGTAAGAAAATGTGTTTATGAACCACACAGCTTCCGGTCTTCCAAGACCCGACCGGAGAAAAAGACGTGGTGCAGGCACGAAACATATTACCAATAGAAATACATTGCTTTTAAAATTGTTCTGTGTGAAATGAAGAAAATGGGAAAATGGTGTTGGTGAACACGAATCAATAGATTAAATTAATTTCGTGACTATAACACGAAATGCCGTGAGACTGGGTTGAAATTACAGGGGGGTTGCATATATATATATATATATTGTGTGTATTTTTCACCACTATAAACTTTGATGGATCAATTGACTCCACAAAAGTGGCAGTTCCAAAGCGCTTGACTGCAGTGAATCCAGCAAGATACATATACAAGTTACATATCATTGGCATGATCTTCACCTATGATATATATATATTTTTTTTTAACTCCAGCCTGCTGCATCTGTTAGATAAATAAACGTCTGTTTGGGGCAGATTGTGTCACATCTGTTCCCGACCAGTAAATCTGGCTCTCAGTCCTTTATTTATTTATTTAGGTGTTTATTTATTGATCTACACGTAGACATATTTTAAATATATAGAGTTTAGAAAGAATGTCACCAGCCTATAAAACATGTTTTATATTATTGTCACGTTTTTATATTATTTTATACAGTCAAAGGTCCCCAGCTGGATTGGACCTGACTTCATTGCAAATAAAGAATATTTTTTGTATTACTTTTATTTAGATACTTACATGTGAACTGACCTTCACTGCACATGTTTGTATAGTGTTTGAGCTTGTTGAAACCAGCTCTCACCCTACCATCAAGTACACATTTTAATATCACTTCAGGGAAAGTGCTCTTAGACTAGAAGTTTTTTTGGTGTTTCTCTCGATATAATGTGTAAAGACCTTGGTCCAAGTTCTCATTACACTACAGACTTGTTCTGAGGTGTATTCTTTTCTCTTCTTAAGTAAGTATAAGACATATTCTTCATCAACTTTATTGCAGATTTCCTCAACACTGTAAATGCTTGATTTTCTTTAAAAATATCAAAATGGGTTGTCAGTCCAAGTCCCGATCAAACCAAAAATACGGACTTGAGGTTACATCGTGGGCTCTGTTGGGCTGTATTTCGGACCTATTTGTGTAATTGTCAAAAAGGTGATAGGTGATTTTATATTATTGAGTAATTGGTAATGTAATCAATTCTCACAGTCGGTCACAAACACACTTCACCTGTAGAGTCTCCTGTGTCATCACCTTTCACATTTGTCATCCCCACACAAACAAATGTCGCAAGAGTTTGACAAACACAGATGCTGACTCGCAATCTAATTGACATCCTACAGAGACACCGGGGCACACACTGCTCTCTCTCTCCCTAACTCTCACTCTCCCACACACACTTTCACACCTCATCTCCTTCTGCATCTGTGGTGCTCAGACGAGTGTGTGTGATTGATTTCTGTGTCTGCGTCTCGGCTGCAAACACGGCCGTTTATTTTCCATTCAGCTTAGCGAAGTGTCTCCAGCTATCTGCTCGTAAGCCACTGGCATATGGAGCGGCAACAGCAGGCTACTAATGCATGAGACCCACACACACACACACACACACACACACACACATGCTCACATATTCACATATTCAGAGCAAGACTGCAGGAATGGCATGAGAAAGGAAGATGGATAAAGGGTATGGACCACAAAAGTGTGCATAATAAAGAGCGCTAGAGGTCAAGAAAAGACATCCTTTTTTTAAATGTTTTTTAAAAAGAGTGCGAAATGAACATGGCCCAGAAGGTGACGGAAAAAGGAGTGTTAGCAAGACTTGTTTCGCACTGCAGCAAAAAGCTCTCGTCTTTTATGAGGCGCGATAAAACGGCAGATCGGCAGCTAGAAAGGAAAAATATGGCCTCTTTATCTGGCTGTGAGGAAGAAGTTAACAGTAAAGAGACAAAGGAGGAAAACAGGCTCAGTGCCCAAAGCAGCAGCTGCTTTGAAACAAACGGCACATTAGAGCAAAATACCCCGAGACGCAAAAAGCCCTCGTAACTTCTCACGGCGCTTCCATCATCTCCTAAGGCTTGTAAAGAATTCTGAAGGCGTTTCATACCTAAACTGATACTACAAGTTTTTACAGGTAGATACATTTAGAGGACAAAGAAGTCCGACTGTATTACTTTACCATCATGACTGATTCACTGCCAGCCTACACAGAAGTTTTATATGTCTGTGTTGAGTTTAAGAGGATCCATTAACTGTGCTGTGAGGGAGAGTTTTAGCACTTTGTTTGGTGATAAAAAAAAAGGATAAGAATCTTAGAGATCCCTAGAGAGACTCTTCCCTTTCTCTTTCTTTGTCCCCGACTTGCTGAAAGGCAGCCATAACTATCATAACTATCATGCTACTTGTCATTCAGCGTTGGCATGTCAATGCATACAACTCGAAAGAAACACACTTTTGTAATGTGTTGGTCTTGGGCTAGGTGAGAGGTTCATTTGGACTGTTAGACTTCTACATGTAGTTGAAAATGTAAACTTGTCTTTAAAGATTTGAGAGTTTACCTGATTTGTCCTCAAACACTTGAGACTTAGCTTGGACCTAAAAACTGTAAACCTGATTTGAACTTGTCCTTATGAGCCTTGACATGAGTTTCTTTCATTAACACTTAAGGCTTTGACTCGTTCTCCAAGACTTAAGGATTGGCTTGGACTCATCTTTTAAAGACTTGAGCTTGATTCAGATTTGTCCCTAAAGACTTAGTTTGGCCCTGTTCTTAAAGACTTGAGACTTGGCTTGAAGTCGCCCTAAAAACCTTGGCTTTGACTTCCACTTAATGTCCTGACACTTGACTTAGACTAGTCCTTTCAGTGTAGAGATGTGGCTTGGATTTGTCCTTAAAAGACTTGAACATGACATAGATTTGTCCTCAAAGACTTGGCTTGGACTTGTTCTTAAAGACTTGAGACTGGAGTTAGACTAGTCCACTCCTTAAAGACTTGAGAATTGACCTAAACCTATTTTAGAGAGACTTGACTTGGCTTGGACTTGTACTAAAAAAACTTGAAAACTTAACTTGGACTAGTCCTTAGAGATTTGACACTTGGTCTTGACTCGCCCTTAGAGACTTTTCTAGTACAATGTGTAAACAACTTGTCACTTCACCTGTCCTTTCAGACTAGAGACTTGGTTTGGACTTGTCCTTAAAGACTTTAAACCTGACTGTCCAGAGGTTGCCTTTTGTCCAGGCCTTTGAATTAGCAGACTCCAACAGACTGCCTTATTGTTCAAATTTCAATCTTCTAATCATTTGTGGAAATAATGTTTCCAGCAGTTCATTTATGAAACAATGAATACATTGATAAAAACTATGCAAGCAGGAATTAAAGTCTTCTTTCAGTTTATTTTTCTCATCTGGCCATTTGTTATTTTGTGTACTTGAATCTATTTGTCTTTTTTCCTTTGTGTTGACTTTATTATTCCTGTCTGCGCAGCGCGACAGAAGGCAGGGAAGATGGAGCCACGAGCTCCTCACTCATTTTATTTCTCCGACTTGATGCTTTTATTGACTCAGCATCAGCAGCATCCCTCCTCGCAGAGCAGCCACTAAATCATGTACACTCCATGCTTCATCCTTGTCACACACACACTGTGAAGTCTGCATCTGTGTGTGGCTGTGATTGATCTTTATTTTATATGGCTGCTTTCTAAGAGTCTTTTTTGTGCTGCAATGTGCAGTTTGCCATTAGACAAGGAGTCTGAAATGAGTGTTGCTCTTAAATGTGATGTATGAAGGAAGATGAATATATAACTGCATGAAGACAAATTCAGACATTTAAAATGAAAACAGAAACTAGAAAGTCAGCCCAAAATGATCAGTACACTTTTGCCCGTTATATTTTTAATATTACATCTCATTAGATAGAAAAACACTTTTCTTTAGCATACTTAGCATACCACCACATGTGCTACAGCTCTTCATATGTGTCGTGGTGCCATTTTACCTCTGTTGGAAGTAGTGCGTTTAGTGTGAGGTGTGTTTGATTTGTGGTGTCACTCTGTGCAGGTTTCCTGGACTGGGTGCCGAAAAAGATGCAGCGTGTGGGCTGCATGGAGCTGCTCAACACCGTCCAGAGGAGAGTCCAGCCCAAGTTTCACGTGTTCGGACACATTCATGAAGGTACTTGCTTGTAAAACAGTAAAACACACACAATGCTGCAGTTGCAAACCGAGACAAATGTGACGATCCACAGCCATTTAAAGCAAATCAACTATTTTCAACTCTTGTAAAAAAGAAGGTCTTACTCACATGGACTTTTTTTCCAATCATGCTTGTTTATTGATATAGTATTACATTGGAACTATAGAAACTAGAGGCCCAGGTAATGACACGTCCCTTCACAACATAAACATAAAGTGTCAATTGAATGCAATTACAAGTGAATGGCGTGCCCTTAAAATAAATACAACACGATTTATCAAACATTTAGGCCGGTTTGCACGGCAGCAACACAAGGAAAGCAAAGGACTGGTAACAGTGTATTTTCTGGTCCTATTTGTTGTTGTTAAATTATGCTATTTTACATCATTTTTAGACACAATTATTCCTATACATGACGCCAAAAAAGCTTTCCATAGTTTAATAATTATTTTTATTTTTACACATGGCCTGAACATTTGGTTTTTCTGGCAATATTTGGACTGTCAAATCATACTCATAAAATCAAAAGAAACAGAAATTCAACAGAGTTCAGGAAACATTAAAATAATGTTTTAAAAAAATAATTATTCAGACAGTTACTATTTCACAAAAAGGAGCTTGCAAATAATTATAATGCTAATGCTGATTTAGTGGTCTTTTAGTGAAGGAGTCAATCCTCCTCCCAGTGGAATTAGCCCCCTTGATTAATTTAAGCGGGAGTAGGATACAACTTCTCAACATGGCCACACATTTCTCCAATTTCCTGTGTTTTAGTCAGAGATGTACTCTAAATATAAACTACCCCCTCTTTTGTTTACAGAGTACCATGTACACATTTTAAGGCTCACATAAATCCTAACGACCTAAATTCATAGGATGCAATATAATATGTAGCATCCAGGAATGGCCTCTTTAAAATTGCATTCTGAATGTGGCAGATAGTTAACACCCCTGCTGCTACATCACTGTCTAATATTTTCTCATGTATCTTATAACCTAAACATTTATAAAAAGAAATGTATCTACATCCTTGTTTTATACCTACTTGTATGTATACTTTTTCCTTAAAATTTCCTACAAAAGTTCAATTCCAGCCATTCAACAACCGGTTTTATTGAAAAACACTGATTGATGTGAACGTCTTAAATAATCAAAGTGTATATTATGGAATAGCTGAGCTGCCACATCCTTATAAGCATTAAATCCAGGCCAACGAGGGCAGAAAGGCCGTCTCCCTGGACCGAGGATTGCTTTTTCGGGGTTATCAGGTCAGCGCTGAGCCCCTGGAGCAGCAGTGCCCTATCAGAGTGAGCCATATTAGAAACTAGATCAGATTATACAACAAGAGAAATAGGCTGAACGCAGCTCTCTTCATTAATTTAAAGAGAGAAATACAGAAATTATCTGCTGTGCGTTTTTGTATTCATGTATTCCAAATCTGAAAGGACCAACGCAGACATCTGTTCGGTTCCAAGAGATGCTGAAAGTGACACCTACACTTAAAAATCACTGATGGCGCAAAGCTGAATTGTAGTACTTTCTGAGAGATGGTAGTTAACTTATGTTTGACAAAATGGTAACACTTTTTCATCTGCCATTTGGAAGGAACGCTGATCTAAAGTGCCTTTGAAGCAGGGATTTTTTTTAGCTGTAATGCTGTGAGTGTGACACTCTCATGCATATATTTGCTCAAACTGGGATCTCTCCATTTTGGAAACGTCGTGCTGTGATACTGAGCGCTGATAGCTCTGCTGTCACGTCCAAAATATATCTTATGTGTTTGTCTTTATTGTAACCCCATCCAATGCGTCACTTACATTTATTTTTATAATTATTACAATTTTATAATTATAAAAATATATATAGTCACGCAAAATGTATGTTTTCTTTTCTTTATAGAAATCATTATACCATAATAAAATAACATTTATTTATTTCATTCAATCATAATCTAAAACTGAATAAAAATACATTTTAAAAGAAGCTAACTAGATGAGTAGATTATCTTTCATGGCCAAATTACACCAGATCACAGGTGGATTATGGGTATTGTCATCCATATTCTTATTACAAGCATCACCGTATTCCTTAGCCTTTCTAAAAATATAACAATTACAGATGAGGACATCTATTCCGGTTTGGTATTATTAAGTGTATGTTTTATCATTTTCATGAAAAAAATAAATGAACATTTTACAAAATATGGAGAAACATATTTTTGGATTACTTCCTTTACGTTGAAGATGGTAATTACAAAATGCATGTGTTAGTACATCAAGAAGTAACACTTTGTTTGAGTTATCACATATTGCGGTTCTTAATTGTAATTTGTAGTTAAACTTGTCCCAAGATTGAAACATTTAAATTGATGAATGAGTTGATAAGTCTGAAAAAACATGATTAATGTGGTCCACTGTTCCCCAGGTTACGGCATGATGACTGATGGCACCACGACGTTCATCAACGCCTCCGCCTGCACCGTGAACTTCATGCCCATGAACGCCCCCATCGTCTTTGACCTTCCTAACCCCAGGACCAGCACATGACATGAGGAAGCTCCCCCCAAAACACCTGCCGGCAGTGAGGAGAAAGATGCCAGGAAAGGTAGGTGAAGACGGTGGTGGAGCGGAAAGCGACTGTGTAAATATTCGACACAAACGGTACGACCCGAGGGATGGAACAGACCATAAGCAAGGGACCTTTCCTGACGGTATAAATATGATTTAATGTGCCATAATTCCTTCATCTCAACATTGCGTCTAAAAGGCAAATGGACGAGCGGAGAGACACTTTTATATGCGGACAAATGGACATTTCTCTGCACTCTTTTACTGCACTGACAATCTGAAGTGGCTCTCAGAGAGACGATGTTGATGGACGTGAAACGACCCAGCACCTTGTCTACATGAGACTTTTGGCTAAGCCATGACTCTGGGGGATTTTACCAGAACTTTTATCCCTTACCACTTTGAAAATGTATTTCCTAATTTCTTTCCCTGTCTCCCGCCTTTTTCTTTCCTCTCCTCGCGCCCGGAGCACGATGGAGTGTTTTTATTTTGTATTGCCAATATGTGTGTGTATGTGAGATCAAAGTGACTGTGTGAGGGCAGCAAGAGGTCTCTGCTAAGGGCTGTGTGAGAGTTGGGGAGTCAAACATGTTGACATGGCTCCCCTGAGCCTCATTACAGCCCTCATTAGCCTCTTAACCAGCCGAGAGGAGGACGCAGAGGAAACCACGCACAGCACTTCCTTTTCCCCCTTTCTTTTTCCTCCATGTAGCTGCCCTTTCACCTTTTCTACTCTTATTTTAATTTGAATTCCTGTCTATCATTCATGTTTTGAATGACTACCACAACTTTTCAGCGGCGACTGAGTCCCATTCAACGAAGAAGCTACGTGCTAAATGCTACGAGCTAAATGCTAACGGACAGTAATTCTGAGCCGCTATTCTGAGAGATAAAACTTTGTATCCTTTTTCAAGAGGAATAAAGCTGTAACTACATGTACTGTAACTGGTCAATGTAAATGTTCTCTGTCAGTGTAAAGAAGAAAAAAACGTGAAGTTTTTCTAAAAGATTTCCAGGTTGTTGCTATACTTTAAAAACACTTGTTTATATTTGTGGTTGTTACATTTCCTTTTGTCAATTTCTTAGTAATGTAAATTCTTATTATGGTATTTTCTTCTCTGTAAAGCTGCTCGGCCCCATTTGGTGATTATTAACTCTTTCATGTCTCTTACAAATTTGTCTGTGTTTTTAAGAAGCTTTTCTTTTTTTCTTCTCCATTGCTCTTGTTTCTGAAACAGGTCGTTCTCAGTAAGAGTCTGAATGTGCTTAGCATAACAAGACCATGTCATACTTTGATCTTCTTGTTCTCCGACATTATGTATGAACGCTCCCTGGAGCTGCAGTTTCCTCCCGCATTCACTCTCGCTTCCTCAGCACATCAGCATTCATTGTGCCAGCTGATGTCTTAATGTTTCCAAATAGGCAAAAGAGGAAAGAGCAGCAGAATTACTCACTGAGAAACCAATTTGTGTGGATAACGGGTGGAGGTGCGTGCACTTGTTCCAGCATATATATGTATGCCTACGCGTTTTTCTAATATAACGTGGAAGTTTTATTTTTGAAATTCAGGAAATTTCTGCAGATTAAATGTAATGACTAATATTGCACATTTGAGGCAAACTCAAAAATAATCATGTCAGTCAAGTTAAAGCTGTCTTCTAGCAAAAACACATAGGGACACATACATATAATAGTATAAGGAAAAACGGTCATGTCATTGGCTGCATTTAATTACTCTAATAAAGCATAAAAACAGTTTTTTAAATAATCACTTATTTTGATAATCATTGCTGTTAAGCTGAAGATCTGCAGATTTTTCACATTAAAATTCCTCTCGAAAAGTGGTTTATGGAATTATGGATGGTTGGAACAAACAACTGCCTCTGCTCAAAACTTCAATTGTTAGTGAGAAACAAACAGTTGCACCATTTTTCTCACTTATTTCCACTTCACTAATTGGTTTTGGTGAATCAGAAAAACAAGTATTTTTGTTTGTTGAATTCTGGCTCAAAATATCATAAGGATCTACGATTTGAGGCATGAAATGGGGAGCCTTTAAATAAGGATATGCATTAATACTTTGAATGTGGGATTGTGTAGAAGCACAACATAGGGTGTGTGTGTGTGAGAGTGTACAAGGAGAGGAAGTGCTCAGCCTCATCCTTTAAAACACCAACTTAATTAATGTCTACGAAGGAAAGTGTCTGAAAAAAAGAATAAAGGGAACTGTTGAAAACCAGAAAATGGGAGAACTTTCATCTCTGTTTCATAAAAAGCTTTCTGTTTGGTCCCACTCTCCACTTCCAGTCCTCATTTAGATGTCTCACTTTGATGCTCTTCTGCTTCAGTAGCCGTGTTATGTGTTTCCTGTTTTTTCCAAGAAAAAAAAAAGTGCTGTACTATTTCTTAAATGTCTTTCTTGAGGCATGCTTAAAGGAGTTAATGACTTCTGCTAATCAGACAATCTGCATATGAAGAGTTTTGTTCCAAAATGATATCTCTTTGAAAAAGAAGAGACTACACAGGCAGAATGATTGACAGCTCAAACTTGAAAGCGGTTTGTGGTGGTACTTTTTAAAGCATCATTAGCACCTTCTGTTTATGGGCTGGATCCTCCACACTCCAACAATACTGGATAGAACGTCAGGTCTTTTCTTCAAATGGATGTATTGCATTTTGGAATAAAAGTGTTCATATGGTGTTGTATATTGCCATGGTTGTTGGGGACATTTTTTTTTTAAATGTATACTAGAAAATGAAGACCCAACCGTGGGAAAATATGACTGTGTTCCTGGAGACAACTCTAAAAATGTAAAGTACCTCTCTTTCTTAAAACCATAAGGATTCTGCTGGTTCTGAGAGATTATTCACTGATTGAATAAAACCTTATCTGTGACCGCTGGATCATGTTTTCTTACTTCCTTCGTCGCTCTTCCCTTTTCTCTTTCTATTCTTATTTTTTGTTCTAAAAAATTAGAGGCATTGAGGAAACTTTTCCCGTCCTGGTTCTTTCTTTTAATCCAATCAAAGATATCTGTGTCTCATATCAATTATAGAGCCCAGAGCAGCGAGTTAATTTCCAGAAGCTAAACCCGTCTCCCATTTTGTTCCGCAGGTCTTCCACACCTCTGCACATTCTAATGAGAACCCTCGTTCAAATAATTACATTAGTAATCCCAGGGGAGACCGTGTAATTTATTCGTGGATGGTGTTTTTACTTTGCCATTAATACAACTAGCTTTCATATACTCTTGTCTTTCTCCTCTTTTTTTCTACCACAATGCTGAGCTCTTTTTCTCAGTTGCGATCATCCCTTTTCCAATTCCATCTGCTCCTCCCTCTCTTGGCGTCCTCAGATAATGACTCCCAGCTCTCTACATTTTTCTCTCCTCTCTGAGAGCAACTGCTGCGGTTGTGTTTTCTTTAAATGAATGACGGACACCCTCCTATCTTCTTGCGATCCATCTCACTTTACACTTCACCATATGAACAAAACATGCACCCAGTCCCGTCGTCTGCATCATTACCAAAGCACTTTATTTCATTGGCTTTGGACACAAATAAGTGACAAATAGTCAAATAACTCTCAAATCCTCTATCAATTTCTTCTTGTTCGTCTTAGTTTTTTTCATGGTTTTTAAATTCAAAAATCTTCTCGTCAAATCAAATCAAGTTTTATTTATATAGCACATGTTTTTAAAGATTTTTGGTCGAGCCAAAGTGCTGTACATACAATACAAATACTTTACAATAAAAACACTTTACAACAAATACAACAGCACAAATAAAAAAATCACACACAGGGAAATGTCAGGAGTCGTGCTCCGCTCTGACTAGAAGGCCAGAGAGAAGAAGTCAGTTTTAAGTTGATTTAAAAACCCCTAGTGTCTGGGCCGACCTCACATGGAGGGGCAGAGTGTTCCAGAGCCTAGGGCCAGCTGCTGCGAAGGCTCGGTGCCCTCGGGTTTTGAGCCTGGTCTTGGGGACTACCAGCAGCAGCTGGTCAGCAGACCTTAAAGCTCTGGCTGGGGTGTAGCGATGGAGGAGTTCGGCTATACAGGCCGGAGCCAGCCCATTTAGGGCTTTGAAAACAAATAAAAGGATTTTAAAATCAATTCTGAACCGAATAGAGATAAATAAACCAACCCAGGGGCAAACATATCTCTTATATTCACAAATGCTTTAAATTCAAAGTAGTTTGACCAACTGTCTCTGAAAAATAAGTATTAAAGAGTCACCTGCAACCAGACTTACTGCCCTCTCTAGTTAACCTTTGAAGGGTCTGTTGCACCTCTGATTCCCTCAAAGGATCAGTTCAACAGGTGGAATAAAGAATGAGGACACAATTTTCCTTCATAGAAAGATAGCTACTTTAAAAAAAATTGAAAAACACCGAAAATGGCATGGGTTGTTATTTAGAGAAAACATTTATTTCATTTTATAGAGGAATACGTTTACTTTAGATACCATTAATATGCGGAAGCCATTCGATTTTCTGCATTTCAGGCTATACTTAGATTTGTTTTGGTGTTAATGACATTATAACAAATAATTACCACACAGTAATGGCGAAACACAAAACCTGGGTTCCCTGAATGTCTAAGGTCTTGGGGTGGTTGGTTTATCAGCCATGCTTGCTAAGAGTTGTAGGCATCAGATTGAAGGTCAGTGAAGAAAGGCCCAAAGGAAGTTGTTGTAGCAGATCCTCCCCGTGGTGTTGGTATCAAAATATGAGCTGAGGTGGAAGAACTCCTCCTCTGAAAGTCTGACGCTGAAATGGCGCAGAACCTGCAGGGCAACATCAGCAAACGTTTGAGTAATTACGTGCGCACATTTGTACATCTCCTTGTGTATTATCCGTTTGGGATATGTCATCCCTAACAAGGTTGCTAATTGTTTCTATCGATTAGCTCAGGGAGCGTTGTCGTCGGTAAATTGTACAGCAGGTAAATGACAGGGACAATAAAACGGGAGTGTCAGCTGTTCTCCTGGGCCAAAATGTCAGCATGGTCTTGTTTCAACCTTCAGCGTAATTGAACAATTAAAATTACTGATTGGCTGTCAAGAGAACAGGTGTGTGTGAATGTGTGTGTGTATGTGGCGGTTGTTTGCAAGCCTGTAAGCTTGAGCTTCATGGATTTCAAGTCACTCTCCATCAGTCTCCTTTGGACATTTTGATAGAAGTGGAGCTCAAACGATTGCATCAATAATTCATAAGGAACCTGAAGTGTTTGACATTGCTCGGATGCAGCAGTGCAGGTGGAGTTCTTCAGGGTGGAGCGCTGCAGCTGATCTCACCTTCCTGAAGTCCTGCACGGAGACACTTCCTGTTCCGGGGCGGTCACATGTCAGGAAGCAGCGTCTGATGGAGGTCCAGGAGGAATGGACCACATCGTGGATCCTCAGCATGACCTCCACGCAGTCTCTGCTCAGCACACCTTCACTCTTCTGGACCAAACCATCCAGAATCCAATCAGACCACAGAGTAAAAGACCCAAACAGGAAGACATGAACAATAAGAAAGAAAACAACAAATATAGGTGAGAGCGCCCACATTCATCAGTTAAAATCACAAGCTGAGAACAAAGTGTTTTTCGTCCTGTGATCAGATAAAAAGGTTTTGTCTGTAAACTCGTGTTCAGACACATTATCGAATCAGATAAAATCGCAGGAGGTCTCTGCAGTTTCCCGCAGATGGTGGGATCCGTGGAGACAATGCAGGTCTTGTGTGATTTGTGAAGTTGGTTTGGAAGGTTGCAGCTTTTGGGTTGCCAGATTAGGCCCTCACCCACACGCTCCACTGAAGCTTGGGGCTCGGCTTAGTCGCTCAGCGGGAGTTCTTTTTAGAACGTGCCCACCCGTGTGTCATTGTTCAAAGCTTCGTATACACCTCCCCGCGCCAAAAAAAGCTCCAAAACTCACCAAACTCTCCCAATTTGCTTGTCATATGAGGCGATAGTCGAGAGCCTGAGGGTGGGAGGTCCCCGCTGAGTTTACACAATCTGGCAACCCGGCGTTGCTCATCACCCCCCCCTCGCTTTACGGAGCCACCCCACCACTGCTTTACTGTAACCCACTTTTCAGGCAGTAAAACTACAATATATTAGACGTAAACCAGAGGAAAGGAGAGGGACTGTGGAGTTAATTTGAAAAGTGCTAATGTGCTGCTCAGCATGGGTATGTGTGGCTGAGAGTACATTCTCTGTGTCCCAATTTCACATTCACTCCAGCAGTGATGATTGGAAAGATGGGTTGGATCATCATTCCAATAACTTGTATATAGACTCGTATTGCACTATTTTTTACTCTCACTTTTTTTTAAAACCATTTTTCTTTTTGTATTACTTTTAATATAGTATATTTTAATATTGGTTAATATTGTCTGCTTATCTGTATTATTGTGTTGCACTGTTGGAGAAGCCTGTGACATAAGATTTTCAACGACATAATTACTCTGTAGCTATGTTAGTTTGACAATAAAGAACCTTGAACCTTGAGATGAGGGAAAAGTTGAATTTGAAATGTTAACATGCCTAACGAAGTACATTTTAATTTGGCATCTTTGGCAGAATCTTAAGCCTTTAATTTATATTTGTCCTGAACAAATACTGGTTTCACCTTATTATCGACATGACCACTTCATTCTCAATACTTTGAAAATCTTGTCGACATTGTGACTTTAGCTTCTATGAACACTAGCATAAAATAAAATGAACGTCCCTTCTCTAAATTGTTTCTTTATGCCTCGTCTCAATACTATTCTGTAGCAGTTATCATTATTAGCCATGTACTACACATTAAGTCGGCTCTTATAAATGGCAATTGTCTATTGATTAAGGGTTATCAAAAAGCAATTCTAAATCTTAAAAAATTATGCAATTGTAAAGTAATTTGGATCCAGATTTCGTAACACTTTCTTTCAAAATCAGAGGTACGATGAGACAGAGGACAGATTTACAAACCGGTATTAAAAAGAACAGACTTGGATGTATTTGTGGCACAGTTACTGATTATTTCATGCAGATATTATATTTAAGGATAAGATATATATATTTTTTTTACCAGTGCAATTGGAAGAGGCAATCTCCGTCGCTCATATGCAGTCTTTGCCTCTGCTGGTCGCAGATTCAGGAGGAAGTGACGTAAGAAGTTGTGATAGGAAACACAGCCATTGTTGATGATGTCAAACTTCACAGTCAGGTGCTCAAGCTGCTCCTGTGTCATATTAATGCCCAGAGAGTGGAGGATCTCTGCAACACAGAGTAGGCATTAGCATAGAGCCGGTAGAAGGAATGGATATATACAGTATATGATTGTGGTTGGCTGCTCACTGAGAAAGGAGGTAGTGCTGATGTGTCCTTCTCGCTGAGGATCTTCCATGGCGCAGTTCCTCTGGATCTCCTTCCAGCAGCGTTGCACCCCCGCTCGCAGCCCCCTCCCCCTGCTGCCCGGCGGGCTTCCTGTTCCCGGCCTCCCCACCGAGGAGGGACGCCTGGAGGAGCACTCAGGGGCGGTCTAGAGAGGAGTGAGGGTAGGTTAGGAGAAGGACAGCACAACTACATTAAAAAAAAAATGGTCATCTCTAGTTTTTCTTAAGTAGTTTGCAGCATAGCTCAACAGAGGATGATACAATGAATTCATTCATTTATTAGTCGGATGTAGTTTTCCTTAACACTGTCATCATTTGAAAACAAGGCTAAATAAGTCCTTTCACTTCTGTAGTTACGCCAAATTAAATAACATGCTTGATTATTTTTAGATTTACCTGCAAAGATAAAAACTATGGTTTGAAATCAAGACAGTAGGGGTATGCTGTACTGTACCTACCTTGATCAACCAAGACATTCTAAAGTATATATAAAAGTAAATAATATTCTCTTGGGAATACATTCATATTTATTTCTATTATCCGCATAAGTGGGCACTACCTCTATCATTCAGTTTTACTCATTTTCCAAAACTGCATTTATGCTCTGTGCTTTTTTTAAAGCTTTTTATAGCAAGAGTGATTGTGATTAATTGTCTGAGGGTTTGTAAGTGCGAAGGCAGGCACTTGGCTGGGAAATACGTAAAACTGAGTGAGAGAGGGTATTGTTGTGCAATCTTTTGGATGTAAGCTAACTTATGTATATGTGTAAGGCAGAGAACGGTTTGGTTTTACTCAAGTTAAATCATATATAATGTCTGTAAATATTTTTTTCTGGCATCTTATAATCTAATCTATTTCCATGTCTAAATAATCTACTACCACGAGTCTTTACTTTCTTGTCCTAACAAACCTAACTTGACTGGCTTTGAAGAGAAGCTGGTTCCTTTGTGCATCAGATCATACAGCAGTGTAATTAAAATAGAAAACAGTATTGTGCAACTCAACTGAGATTTAATTATTGTGTTATTAGAATACATACATCCATGTTGGGTAAAGTTTGACATATTAAAATCCTATCCTGTCATGTGCCTTACATTTATGCGATGTAGAAAAGCACCTGCACTCTCTGGGGAACAGGATTTTGTTGCTGAGGCTGTTTCTCTGGGCTCACAGGAAGGCGATGGGACATTGTCAGTGGGACCCCCTGCTTCTGTGCGGGGGGTCCTTCCCAAAGCAAAAAAAAGCTCCAGAAAGTCTCTGTACTGCAGCTTCTTCTGCTCGTTCACAGGCATCTGACTCCACACACACTCAATCTGAGAAGCAAAAAGGAAGCACACAATAATAATCTTCACTGGGGGGCTAGTACCCCAAAGAGAGTTCCACACAGCGGAGTAAATTAGCTTTACAGATGAATAACTTCCTCACGCAGACAGTAATGATCAACAAAGATAAATTAGACTTTGATTAGAATAATTAAAGAAAACATATCAGTGTAAAAAGCGTGGAACTGGCAAATACAGCAGTCCTCATTTGTAACCATGGACTGATGCCATGTGTGGCTTCAGCTTGAAAGCACTGGGAGAGTCGTTGGAAATGTGCTTGTGAATGTCTTCTCTTTGAATTCACGGAAAAATTATTCACTGGAATATTAAAAAAAAAATATTCGGCTTTACCTGATCATTTGTGAGTCTTGTCGTGCTGTTGGAGGGTTTCAGATCCATCAGCTTTTTGGTGATTTCATATAAATGACCTGAGATGAAGTCCTGGATTTGTTGATTTTCCTCATTGTGCTTTGTAGTTTCAGGGGTCTTGGTCTGGGTAGGGGATCTTGTTGTTGTCCGTCGCTCAATAGTCTTACTCAGGCACCTCTCTGAAATCTGCATTATGAAGAGAAGCATACAACACACTTTTTGTTTTTGTTGAGTACAATGATTGTATTGGCCTAGCTTAGCATTACAATACTAACAGTCTGTCTTAATTCAGAACCTTCCATCAGATTTGCCAGATATATACAAGAATTATCGTATTTGTACGGTAATTGTGCCCTCTTCATGTTGTAATATCAATAATGCCAAGTGCGATTATGAAAAATAAATTCCCCTTTTTGGATGTTTACAAATAGAAGTTGGATTTAGGCTTCCATATGCGCTTAATTCTGGTCCTAATTCATGTTTTTATTGCAATGTCATTTTTGTAACATTCACTGGAGCAAAAACATACCCTTATGCTAGGCTACATAGTCAAGATGGCGACCGTTGAGGCTGAGATGTGTTCAGCATTCCACACCCAATGCTCTTAAACTTTGTCGACAGTCTAAACACATAATGGGTACTTATAGTGCACTGCATTTTGACATACTTGTCAAGTATAACAACAGGAGAATGCATGCAAGCATCTTTGTGAGACATAGCTCAGACACCACCTTCTTTTGAGCTAGCATCAACATGCTAGCTTTGGCAAATTGGACAATGCGAACCAGCAGATACTAAGCAAGTTATGTTTGGTGACCATGGTTAATATGTAAGCACCACCTAAAGAAAGAAAAAAGCACATTGCCCAAAAATGTTGAACTATATTTCAGCACATTTGGAAGCAGCTTCTCTTACCAGTGGGCTCTCTGATTGAAACGTGTTGAGGAAGTCCTTCCAGTTAACAGTGCAGGTCTCACAGTCCAGCTGCAGTTTGGTCAGCATGTGTCTGTACTGTTTGTCTGACAGACGGGCGCAAAAATGATCTAACACCTGACGAAACTCCAGAGGTTTCACTGTCCCCGTTCCCCTCCGGTCAAAGGCAGAGAAAGCCTGGAGAACAAAGAGCCACAGAAAAGTGATCAGCTTAGGAACTGTTGTACAAAGAAAATGAAGCATGGTGCAAGATTCACCTTATACAGATGTGGCGCTGAGGCAGTGACTAGCTCTTGCATCCTAGCCAGAGCAACGGCTGGACTGAGGCCGTCCAAAGACTCTTTCTGTCTCTCAGCATCAGGAGAGGCAGGGGGACGCTCACCACTCTTCTTATGGTCAAACGCAGACAGGAAATCCATGTAAGCCAGCCTGTTATCATCCACGGTAACATTAAGCCTAAAGGAATAAGTGGGAGGTAGTGCAACAAAAACAAGTTGGTTTCACACTGAAGGATTAAACAAGTGCAGTTTTATGCCACACTATTTATTCATTTTTAAACTATTATTGAGAGAGAATGAATCCTTAAGAGTCTCCATGACTTTTCCTCCATCACCACCATGAGGTAGACCTCTTAAGTGACCTCTTGAACTCTTTAATGGAATGCCATCATTTGTGGTGTAAATATTCTAATACGGAAATTATACAAATATTTAAGTTATCCCCTGACGTTTCAGGTCAAAATTTGTATTAGTCAAAAAGTGTGGTTAATTCACAAAAGACACCGAATCACCTTCATGTGTACCTGTGTGTGTTAAGTGCTTATAAGCAAATGTGAGCATGATAACATACTTAACCAAGATGGTGAACCTTGATAAAGATTTTAAATGGACTTAAAATATAGTCTCTGGCAAAAATTGCAGCTTCAAATGTAAGCCTCCATATGAATAATACAGACGCCCCAATCAGTTAAATGTCTTAATGTAAGTATCTACAGTAAATATAAAGGTGGAGTTGACCTGCGCAGGTGAATTTCAAGCTGCTTTCTCTTCACGGAGGAGCTGTAGGTTTGTAACAGGCTCAGCAGCTGCTCCACTGTCACTGTGCCATCCCTCCCTGTTTCCAGGTGAGCCAGGGAGTCGCTCAACTCCTTAAAGTTCTCCTGCACAATATGTCTATAGACAGTACAACAAGAGCATATGATATACATAAACATTTAGAAACTTGAATATGTTTTTTTGTAAATGACTGTGTTCGCTAAGCTAATATATTGCCAGTCTGTACCTATTGCACAGCTACCCTTAACGTAGTAATGATCACAGCATGTTAAAAATGTTAATACAGCTAAATAATCATTACACAGCATGTGAAAGATGTTTCGACGCCTAACCTATATATTTGTTTTTCCCAAACCCTGTGGGGGTAAGATTGCCTTTGTTTCTGCCTCACTTCTCTCTGTGTCTTTGTGTGTGTGTTTGTTTGTGTGCGGGACAAGCCACAAACAAGGGCCGACTAATGCTGATTAACACTTTAAACCAATCGTAATTGCTTAAGACAGACTGCTGAGCTGGATGAGGACAGAGAATTGATGGATGGATCATCTAAATTGGCCCGCAGTACCCTTTTATGCTTACTCAATACACTCCAGTGATGCAGCATCAGAGGACCCTGGTCTGTCAGGGCTCTGCTGGGCCGCAGCTTGGTTCAGCTTCTGTCTCGACGGTCTGAGCTCCCCTTCATGATCAATCCCCAGTTTTTCCAAAAAGTCACAAATTGGCACACGGCCCCGGCCCTCTGGGTCATACCTGTTTGAAAGGGAGTAGAATCGAATGTTGCTGGCAAAGACAGGAGCACTTCAGCTGCCTCGGCTGGGTTTCTCTTACCTCAACCAAAGCTGGTCAAACTCCTCAGATCTTATAGGGAGAGCATAGGTGAACAGGAGTCCCCTCAAGCTCTTCTTATGGATCCAACCCCGTCCGTCTGTGTCATACTGGCACAGAACCTGATGGGGAAAGAGAGGAATCGGTACGAATCCTAAAGGCTTGTAGAGAAACAGAACCGATTCAGGAGTGCTGTCTGAAACTTTTGCTGACCTTAGACATGTCTGCCCACGTGTAGCGGGCTTCACATGCCAGAAGTTCATGGAGCTGCTCTTGTCTTTCAGGAGAGAAAACATACATTGACACACACCTGGGCCAACTTTCCACGAAAAACCCAAGTAATAATCATAATTTCTTACTCACACACACGCTGTCTGTGTCCCTTTTTTGCCATTATTTTCCACAACATCAACAAACTCTGCGTAGTTGAGGTTTCCCCCTGGTTGCAAACCAATCAGTTCCAACAGCCGCTGATACTCTGCCTTTCTGCAGAAAAATCCCAGGCTGCTGTATAGCTCTTTGAAATCACGGCAGTCGACCACGCCATTACGTTTCCTGTCCATCAGTCGAAACGCTGACAGGTTGTTCTGATGGGAACAGATTGGCTTATCAGAACAGAGTCATTCATTGATTCAGTAGTTGTGTGTGCTGTGATGAATGATTGCAATCACACTGACATTCTTGTTAACTAGCTTGCAATCTTCATATTCCCTGTTTTCTTTGGTACTTTGAAGCATATCTTGGCATTACCGCAATTAGTGCAATAGTGTGAAACCATCGGTGGGATTGTTTAAAACTCCGTGACACGTTGGTAAGGTTACGTGGACTTTTAACAGTTTCTAGGGTTCCTGACAGAGTATACTGATTGCATTAGTAAATGATATGTCAATTGGCCACCATCAGTTTTTATCTTTTGTGTATGCATTTTGAATCCAATACAGGGAAGGTGAACAGAGAGATGGTTTCAGAATGAAGATACATTGAGACAGTGCTAATGACAAAATGGAGCACCCTGATGATCTCTTGGTCCATCTCTTTCTCCTTCAATTTCCTTTGTGTTTTCTATTAAAGCCCAATGGCCAGGTAAAACTGCTTTTGATGTTATTATAATTGAGGAAAAACTGCCAATTCACATCATTATTTATTTTATATATTTATACATTTTATATATTTATCATTATATTATTTAAGACATCTGTTTTGAATCCAAATATATGATTGCATTGCTGATTACAACTGGACACCTGTAGCGATCTTGCTCACCCCATGGATGCTCTTGATCCTGGTCTTCATGGCAGCTAGGCACTGCTCAGCTGAAGTAAGAGGGGGGGCGACTTTAACCTTATCACCATGACCCTCAGAGCGCTGCTGCCCATCCCTGGCTGTGGCGGCCTCTACAGTAAACCACAGTGAAAACTGATCACTAATCAATTTTAAATAAATAAAAGTGTTGATGTTTGAAATTCTATTCACATAATGAACTGGTTTCTAAATAAATGGTCTTTTTCGAGGGAATTATACCCAACAAATTATCATTTTTGTTCCATTTATTTTTGGCACTACAAAGAATGCCCTTCATGTCTTCAAGCACACTGGGCATTAAACTGTCTGACCTCATTTTTATTTAATTAAAAGCACACTTGTTTTTGTAATTAAAGAATGCCTAGCAAACATCAGTAACTTTCCGCCCTGGCTTTGTTTGACAATTCCTTTTTTTTGTTTTGTTATTTCTACTGTTTCTTTTTTTATTTATTTAGAGCATACAAATTAGAGCGATGCCCTGCTGCTCTGTTTCCTGCTTCCAAAGCATATAATTAGCCCAAACAAGCAGAAATGAGTGTGATTCTGAATCTGTGCTCCTCCGCTCTGCTAATGAGAAACGAAGAGGCTCACTCTTAAAATACTCTATTTATAATGCAGGATGATTTCTCCAATGGCTTGTGTGCTAAGAAAGACATCATTTTACAGGAAGCAGGGGGCTTATGTTTGATCACCGTGGGTGGGGTAGGAGTTGGGATACAAGGCAAAAGATGGAGGGGAGGGAGTGTGGTGGAGAGTAGGAAGGGATTTAAAAAATCTCTATTTAAGCATTGAAAACCCTGCCATGCAGAACTGAGGGGATTTCTGACGCCGCTGGTCAAGATGTTCTGGCTGCCGCTCTTCTGTCTCACCCACCATACTTCTCCAGGAACACTGAGCGCTCGATCCGTCCATCCCTGAGGCCAAGCAGTTCAGTGAACTTGTGGAAATTTGTATCGTCCAAGATGACCCAACTGTCCTCTAGTATCTATTAGAGAAAGAAGAGAAAGCAGGACGTGTTGGCAGCCTGCTGCACTGCCCTCTGCTTTAGGCCAGGTTGTATCGACTTGTTAGAGTGAGAACTACATTCGTCCTTCAGGTACAACAGGTACAAAAGTGAAATGCAACACGCAGCATTGTATGTAGGCATCTACTTTTGAATAGATTGTTTTTAATAGTGGAATGAATTAACCGTTCCTCAATAGAATTTAAAACATATGATTGTTTGGTCGGCTAAGTTGATGCAAAAACTGTCATGGCGGCCATCTGATTGTGTCAGCGCTGATAAGCTTTGCCAATGGTCCCAAGCTGTGATTGGGTAGTTGATTGTTTTCCTTTTTATTTCCCGACCTCTAAAATTAAAAAGCTCCTCTTTACCTCCTTGTGAAAACACTACAAAAATAAAGTTCATACTATTCTTTGTTTTCTGATTTAATATGACATTTCCTGTCACACTGACACACACTGAATTCAAATGAAATATAAAAAACGAAATCAAACATATATTTTAGTAATTGAGTGATCTCACAATGAATGCATGCATTGAAGAAATACAGATATTTATAATGTGTATTGTAGCTTTCATTGATACATTTTGATTTTGGCATATTTAGGAGAAAATATGTTGCTTTTTGCAACAGCTCTGTATCATTGCAGTGCAGGTGATATGTTCAAATGAACGATGTTCGATTTCCCTCAGTGTTACTGAAGCTTGAAGCTCACCATTCATTTGCGTGCCATGTAGCGTTTATTTGTTCCCCACTCACCTTCCGTATATCTGTCTCTGATAGGGTCCCATTAGAGCTGTGCGTGATGGCCTTGATGCGGTCGGTCAGGCTGCTGTGACGCTGCTCTAGCCTTGATCTCATCCTCTGGAAAACAATATCCAGGATGTTGCATGTGTCTGCACTGACCTGCAGGCTGGAGGCAGGTCGCTGAGCTCTGACGGACTGTACGGTCGACTGAGGTGAAGTGCAGCGTCTGTAGGGCAGATTGGTAAATGCTCAGTAGGAGAGGTGCATTTACAATGATGTCATTACACCATACAGTAGGTCTGCGTTGTATACTGTGTATAGAGTGTCTCTATCTGCTCACCTCTCAGTATGTGCTGAGGATGGGCATGTTTCATATGTCAGGGGGACTCCCAGGTTTTCGAGAAAGCCTGGGTAATAAACCAACTTAGAAGAACTCCCAGGTCTAGAGCTGGAGGTCTCACAGAGCCTGGAAACACACAAAGAAAGTTTCAGTGTGAAAGTTTCAGTAGTTGACACTGTTGCCTAAAAGATACAAGATCTGGAGTTTGAAGTTGACTGGGGCCTCTCTGTGTGATGTGTGCAGGTGCTCCAGTGGCCTAAGACATTCATACATGCTCATAGGTGTAAAATGTGTCTGTTTATATCTCAGCCCTGTGACAGACTGCTCTTTATTTCTAAGGTCTTGAGGGTCACAACTTTCCTCTTGATGTATATTTGAAAATTACAGTTGCTATCTTTTTTTTTTGTATTACTACCCTGTGTGTTTCTTACTTGTTGAAGTGTGTCTCTGAGATGGGTATGCCATGAGAGCTTAGGAGCTTCTTCAGATCTTCCTGTGTGATGTATCCAGTGTGCTGAGGGTCACACATCTTCAGAGCTGCCAGTACTGAACTGAGCCGCTCACACAGCTGGTCCAGCAGTAAATTCTCCACCTTAAACGAAAGTGCACACAAAGCAAAACACACACAAATCAAACTGTGCGTTAATAATTAACCCCTTTTTCTCCTTTTGATCTCATGTTCTGTTTTCTTTCTCTGTTTGATCTCATGTTATATCTGATATGGGTGATATTTGATCTTGGTATGTTGTTAACACACTTACTGTTCTCCATGATGCAGACCCCACAGCCAGTTTGTCAGCACAGTCTGTGTTCTGCCTCTCCTCTGGTGTTTTATGTTCTTTCTGAGGAAAAATAGATAATAAACAAAGTACAGTCTTACATGGAATTAGCGCCTGCATGTCTTAGTTAATGGTTGAATAAGCATACTGTACAGCAGTGTCTTCGGGTACATTCAGGGGCTCAGCAGTGTTAGCAGGAGAGAGACGTGGTGCCGTGTTGCCTGATGGAGCAGAGGTCATGACCCCGGATTGGTTTTGGCCCTGTGCACTGAGCAGCTCCGTGATCTCGGACCCTTGAGTTCGGGGCTGGGTCTCACCAGAGGCCTGTACTACGAAGCTGGATTTTCGCTTAGCCGGCTAACTTCAGGGAAATCTCGGGCTTTCCGGTCCTACGACGCTGGTTCTCTTTTTAGCGGGCTAGATTTCCATGGTAACTTATGCTGAGCGGCAAACCTGCTCCGGAGCAGGTTAGGTGGCAGGCTAAGAGATCAACTCAGTGAAAGCACCGCCTGCTGACCAATCAGAGCTCCGTGTGCGGAGTTTAAAGCGATCAAGTCATATTACAGGATAGAGGAAATACAGAAAAACTGCCGTTGCAGGAAAGACGGCCGGCCAAAATCAACTGACTGTGTGAACGTGAAAATTAATAGAATATCCCCTCCCATCTTCAGAGCAATCTGACTATTATAACATTAGCGTTAAGAAAGCTTACTTAAATATCTGCCACGACATAAGTAACCGGATCAGAGTAACATTAAGTACAGTCCGCGGCACTGTGAGTGCAGACGTCGATGTGTTCATTATATCATATCACATCATAATGTATCATATATTTCCTTATTTGAGTCAGCTTCTTGAGCCGTATCTGGCCGTGCAACACTTACAGTGTCACATACTGTATGCAGAAGTATTATTTTAAGCAACACATTAAGTTGATGAAACACTCAAGTCAAATTCTCCTAATTAAAGTCAGATCCACTCGTGTCTTGGACGGGGCAGTGATTTCATAAACCTGTTAATGTACGCATTCAAACACTTTTTCTTTTACCAGCTGTATTCACCTTGCAGGTGCAGCTATGTGGCTTTTATCCTGGATAAAGTGTTTAAGTCATGGATGTTTAAAGTTTAACTTCTTCATATTTGACTAATATTAAAGTTCACTTTTCATTCAGGTAGTATGACGCTGCGCTGTCAGTACGCTTGTCCATGTTTGAGATTGGTCGAATGCTCCAAATACCACCCCTTTCATGTGAACGCGCACCTAACTAGATAGGACACGGCTGGCTTGAGCGATCCACTTGATAACCGGCGTCGTAGTACAGCTTAGCGCCAGCGCGTATGTTTTGGCTTAGGCCAACCGGCTAACTCCAACATATCCAGGTTAGGTTGAACCAGCTTCGTAGTACAGGCCTCTGGTCTCTCCAGAACATGTTGCAGGTCTGCTCTAGTGATCCAACCTGCCTCCTTCTGGAAAGTAAAGCTGTGTGAGCATTCTTCTTCAAATTGTAGTGTCACAGGGACATTTTGTTAGATGTCATTGCAGGGATAGGTATCATTGGGCATTGTAGTCAGAGAAAATGTGTCAAACATTAGGACACAGGACATTAATGCAGTGCAGAGTATGATACAAATGTTTAGTATGTTACCAAATGAGTTTACAAAGGTCCTGGTTATAGCCCAATTATTTTATACTGTCTTTAACAAAGTTTTAAAGTCTTGTTATTGCATAATTAAAAGTTCAAGATATAGGATATCTTATTTGTTGTCCAAAATGCTATGACATTTGTTTACATGTCACTGCTAGTAGCTACTTGCTAGTTAGCTTGTCTTACGAGCTCTTTGAAATGCTTAAAAACGATTGAATCATTATTTTCTTTTGCAGAAAAACAATATCTTAATGTATTACCTTGAAGTTTGTTCAAACTCAACAGGTTACACAGCACATTTATTTTGAAAATGGCATAGAAAAAGAAGCACAAAACCTAATTTATAATTTATCATCATTTAAAAAATGTATCTAAATATGTAAAATGTAAATGTATACTTAAAACACTTAATGTTTTTGTGTAATGTTGAAATTTAAGGGACTTGTATAACAATGCCATATAATATTATGACTATAGCCTGGCACAATAGAGCGTCCATCTGATTCTACCTTGTGAATCCTACACAAACAATATGAATGACAGCAAGTCTTCCAAGCTATAATGCTTCCCTGGAGATAGTCTAAAACCATAGTTGGCTTGGAACATGCCTGAGTGGAAAACCTCATTATTGGCTGGCGGTGTGAGGACACTCTTGTTTGATCCCCTACCCGCTGAATAGATTATTAAAACAGTTGATGGATGGATTTTTTTTTCTTTTCCCTTCCATGCCATTAAAAGGAGGAGATTTTGGCAGATAGATGTGTGATTCATATCTGGGAGAGGCTTCACACACATACACACACTTCCTCAAACTTGGAAGCCGACTGTTGTTGTGTGAGTGGCGGCAGCAACATCAAACATAACTGCAAATTAATGGAAAATTCAACCCCCCTTTCCCTAAAGTTTAGTCAAACTCCAAAGTTTCATCCAGCTGAAGTAGACTGATTTGAAATTAAAGAGGCAGAACTGAATGCGGAGGCGTGTTGAAGGGGATGGCTGTCAGACGAACATATGGCTAGTGACTGAGTGGCTAACCAGTGGCCATATGCAATCATCTAATCATGTTTATGGCCATCAAAAAGCTGCGGATGATGATTGGCTCATCTGTAAAGCTGTCTGGCATTTATATTTAAAGCATACACCTGAGCATGTGCCTTTTGTCTCTTAGCAATCTGCTGAGATTACTCCCCTGTGTCCTGTCTGATCACAATCACTTCTGTCTTCTCTGGTACAAAGATTTTTGCTGTGTGCGTTTTAAATAAGGTAGAGGATTGAAAGAATGTTCAGGGTGTACAAGTTGGTTTCCCTTTACTCCTTATTATTTACTTCCCGAGTCCTGACTCCTACCATGTCTAGCAGGTGGAACATCTCTTTCAGTCGAGGGTTAATGTCCTGGAAGTTGTCTTTTTCTGGAACAGGCGGCTCTGAAGCCCTGAGAGAGGAGATGACATATCAGAGTGCATATATATGTTTCTTATCATTTTCAACATCTCTTTGACCAGTAACCGTTGCTTCAACCTGCCATTACCTCAAGCATTGGTGAATATCTTTCGAAAGAACCTTCACTGTTAACTGTTTGAGAAGGTTTAAAGCGTAAAAGGATCTGGAAATGTGCCAGCTGAAGAGCTTAAAAGGTCTCTTGAGATCTTCTGTCACAGTTACAGTGGAAGCTGTAACTATAGATGGGGGATCTGGATGAAGAGTGCAATTGGTTGCATCATTCTTGTGTCTGATGGGTTGAAAAAGGCACTTCTGAACAGCTGTGAGAGCTTTGAAGTTGTAATAAAAATCCAAATCCAAAAGAAAAACTAAAGAGTAGCAATCACACTGTAAAAAGGCTGATGTACTGTTATCCTTAGGATTTATGTTTATATAGGGTAGGGGTGTCAACCTTCTTTTTGAGAACAGATGAAATCTTGCCGTTTTACTATCAGCCTGTCACTCATGTCTCTTATTTTAAGGAAGAAGTATGGTGGGAGATCACAAAATGTGATGCATTGTGGGACATATCATCTATGTAAAGCGGGATATAATTCTATGATAAGTAAATCATGTTCTTTAGAGCTCTCGCGGGACACTTAAAATGAGCTGGCGGGACGGATATGGCACCCCTGATATAGGGCAATTCTGAATTTGACTAGGGTTAGGGTTAAGGCCAAGATGATTGCATATTCAGTGAGAACAGAGAGAAGACATTATATGTATTCCAATTCTATTATGAGGGGAAATGAGAAGTAAAAAGGAAAAATATGTAGCAACAGATGGCTGGAAAATGCAGACAATGGTCTTTCTGTTCTGCAGCACATTTTAAATCAGAACAAACTCAACATGAAAAATAGGAGACCTGTTAACAACATGTCAAACCTCAGCATATGTGTAGGTTCCCTGTGTAAAAAGTCCAAACTGACCTTTTGGTGAGAAGATTTGTGTCCCCCTCTACTTTAACCGGGCTCATGAAGTGGCCCAATAAGTGTTTCCATCGCACTGGCCCTGTTGCGCTCACACCATAACTGCAAACACACAAAATCAATACACATGTATGAAAAATATATAACACAGAATAGATGAGAGCTAGATTTAAAGATTAAAAGAGTGAAGAACGGGAAGGTTGAGGCAAAGTAGAAAGAGAGATAAATAAAATATGTCTTTCCTTACTGGCTGGTCAGTTTCTGGAAGGAGTGAGGGTTCATGGGAAATATAAAGCTGCTGAGAATGGCCCTGAGGACATCTTGTGCTACCAGGCCAGAGCGGGTGGAGTCAAAGGCCTGCAGCGCTTGCCACACCTGGGTTGAGTTCATGCACATCTGATGAGGAAGAAGAACACACTGAGGTACAAGCATTCATATTTTAGAGGCCGCCCCCTCTCTCTTGATCTGGTTTTCTCTCCTCAATAATGACAGGAAGTGAGTCATCTCTGATTCCGGTTGCCATGGAGAACATCCCAGTGCGGCTCTAGAACGAGAGAGAAGAGCCGTCCTCGATCCGGCCGCCTTTGCCGCAAATTAGCCGTGATTAACACACTAACTCAGGAACTGATTTCTCTGGGCAAACATTTTAATTAGAGGTGTTCCCTCTGCCGTTTGCATCCAGACGTGCCACTTAGAGACAATTTAGCCCTCCGTCTTAAAAGAGGATAATGCAGGGATGAAGGCCAGATGGTGACAAACAGGAGGAACATAACACACAAAGTAATTTAATTAAGTCCGTACCTTGTCGTAGAAGAGAGTCTGCAGCTTCGTGTGTCTCAACGGAGCATCACCCAGACTGGAGAGATACTCTGGTCTCAGCTTCTCCTGGTTGACTCTCTCAGGTGGAGTTGTCCCTCGGCTGGGCACTTCTATAACACAATCTCAATGTGAACTCTTGCATTAAGTATTTTCTTGCAATTATGGCAAAGATAGTTCGAGACTAGATTTCCAGTTTAATATGTGAAGGTAGTAACGAGCACTCGTTGTTCCACTAGTCCACCTCTTTGGATCAGAATTTAAATATCTGAAAAGCTACAGGATGGATTCTGTTAAATTGGGTACCCATTGAGGATGACTTCAAATGACTTTGTAATGATCTTGATCCACTGATTTGTTCTCTAGCACAGCCATTGGATAAAACGCTTGGACCTGTTGCTGCCCTATGGCTGAATTGTATTTACTTGTGTGGCTGGTAGCGCCCATGAACTTAGATACATTTTTCTTTAAATTGTTGTGTTTTTATTCATGTCACTGGGGCCAGTATGACACATGACAGAAAAACACTCAACCCCATTGGAAAGAAAGTGTTAGATTGTAAGTGCAGCCAAGCTAAGCTAAACCCAGGTTATTCCATCTCCTAATTTTCCTGTTTTTTCCTTACTATCTCATTTTTTACCGTGTCCATTCACTGGAAATTAAGATGGATGTAATCAGAATCGGTGTGTTCATACCTATCTTAGTGCAGACTGGAGCAATCTTGAAGTTACAGCTGTCACCAAAGCCTAGCTTGTCCAGGAACAGTTCGTAGGAAATTGTGGAGTTGTTATTGGGACTGTAGTGATTCCGAAGCCTAGGAAGAATGCAAGGAGGAGCTAAGTTGTTCATGTTTACAGTAGGCAAAAAAAAATTGTGAGATGAGAAAAGAGGTCAGGATTTATGCCTAGCTTGATATCTTCCAACACGCAGACAGAGCAAGGGTGTGTGCTTCAATGTGAGCATGTGTGTCTGAAGAGAGAGAGTCATGTGCGCTAAAACCAATTAAAGCCATTGAAAATGAACCTGTCACGCGCAATCCTCTAGAGCCACGTCAAAAAAGTTGAGGAGGGTGTCTGGAGTGGATTTGACTGCAGGGCCTAAAGTATTAAAAGTCAATTAGCTGTCTCTCATCCTGAGACAAAGGCTGACCGCTAAGTTAGCGCTAGTCATCTCGTTCTAGCCGACAAACAGGAAATGGTACGAATGAAAGGCAATGGAAATAGCTGGGCCTGTGCTAATTGGATAACAATGTTTGTTTGTTATTTAATCTTTTTCTTTTTAGCAATGTCTTCCAAGATCTTAGCAATTCTCATGATAAGGACACAATGTGACTAATTCTGATAAGAATAAATGAGAAAAATACAAAAATAAGACCTAGATTATTATGAACCAATGGCTGAAAACACTTCTCATGTGGGATGTAGACTCAGTAATGAAGCGTTAGTTTATTAGTTTTATGTATGATTTCTGGGACAGGAAGTGATGCTGACTACCTTAATGTTGGTCCCAGCTAATTTAGCAGTGTTTGACGTGTGTGTGGGCCAATGCTTGTGGCTGCACAGATTAGATGTGGGATCAGTTGTGTCTAACTCAGATGTATGCCATAAACCCCCACCTCTGAAACTCCTTGTCTGTCAGGTGGATGCCGTAGTTGTCCAGGATGCGGCGGAACTCGTGCTGCTGGATGTGTCCTTCTCGCTTGCAGTCAAACAGGCTAAACACTCTGATCAGGGTCGCCAGGTTGCCTCCAATCTGTGGGGTTCACACACAGTGATTGACAGCAACAGCAACAGCAACACTACAGCTCAGCAGCGCCTGTGAACTGCTGAACCCGAGCGACTTGTGAGACTCGGCTCGCCGGAGCTTTCATCTCTGTGAACATGGTTATTGACACGCATGCCTTGATCTGTGGAAGCCCGGGTCTATTCCCCACAGTGCTGACAACTGCGGAGGTGGGAGAGAGCAAAGAGAAGGGGCAAGGATGGCTGGTGGACAGATGAAATAGAAAGAAGAGGAGGAGGAGGAGGGAGGGCACCGAGGAAGATTATGGGTGAGTAAAGCAGAGACTAACAGATGCTTTAAATGTGCTCCTGTGTTTCATGGCTGAAATTGGGAGATATACTTCCTGGTAATCCTCTGAAAAACCTATAGAAAACACTACAGGAAAGGGATAACCCAAAAAGCATAATAAGGCCCCTTTAAGTAAATCATGGTTTCCATAGACACAATTACATCTATGCTGGTGACAATATAGTATATTGCAAAAGTGTGTCATGATCAAATTCACATGACAACCTGACAGCTCATTAATTACTGGGCTAATGAGAATTTGGGGAGGACGTCAGGTTACACGGTTGATTAAGTTGCTTTTTCAAAGTCTCCTCACAATAGTAAATGACACTTTTAAATGTTGCCTTTCACCAATAAACGTGGTAACTACGGTACTAGTAATTTTAGGGAATATGTTTACATTTAATAAAAAGCAAATGGTAACTGCAGGTCTGTAGCTGGAACCAAACTCTAGTTTTCTGCATGAAAGTCTGACACACGTCATTGCCATGTGCCACCGTCACCCTTACTGCTACCTTTACTTGATCTGAAAAGGACACACGACTTCAGGAATTTGTAAACACTGACATTGGATGCAAATGAGCATCCAAAGTGTATATCAATTCCTGGGATACCAGGCTGCATTTAATAAAGGGAATATTGCAATATTGTCCTCATCTTAGAGGCAAACCAATATACAAGGATGGCTCTGACTAACACAACGTGCTCTCACAATCAGAGCAGCAGAGCACTGAGGAGCCACAGGCCCAAAGACATTATATAAATGTGTATTTTGGAACAGCCTCACACTCTGGTTGAGGGTTTGGATCAGGTTAACGTTGTTTTAGAGCTCAGTTGCAGCAACTCTGAGTGAGCGCCCCAGCCAAGTTCAGCCCGTCCCGCCTTCCAATATCTTCCCCAATGCACCAGCTCTCTCTGTAGCTCCGGGGCGCCGCACTTAACCACGGAGGAACAAGAGCAGAGATACTAAATATACCCCCAGTGACTCTTGGGTAATCAGAGTCTTCTGTCGCCCAGAGAAGTCTCCGACTAATTGCACTCTGATTAGACGAGCTGCCAAGTCTCTCAGTGAAAGGCGTGGAGAGCCTCCCTCGTGCTGCTACACTGACATTGTCTCCATGAAGACACAAAATAGAGCAGATGGAGTAAAGTCAAGCAAAAATATACAAGATGCTGACCTCTGAAATGAAGTGTTCCAAAATTCCAGATTTCTACGTGGTCATGCAGTTTTTTGTTTTTTTTACAGCAATAACACTTTAAAAACGGCCCCTTTTTTGTAATCTAACAACTTTAGCTATACCATTTAAGCTTCCTTTACAAGCATAACAATTGCGTTTACACCATCTTTCATGCTGCCGGAGTCAGGGGGAAAGAACAGAGACGCTCCATGGCAGCCCGTGCGTTTTAAAAAAAGATCAAAATGAAAGTGAATTTATTAAAGACAGATATAAATATGATTCTCATCCCCCGCCTGATCTACCTCCCTCCCGCTCCAACTTAGAGGATTCTGTGCTAATTATAAATGTGTTAAAATCACAAAGGAGGGAGAGAGGAGATCATACGGTATTAATGAACAGAGACAGAGGGATATCATCCAATCTCCATCTCCATCTCCATCTTCATCTCATCTCTCTCCCTGTGCACACACACTCCCCCCTCTCCCCTTTTATCTGTCTTTGTTTTCATCTCTTCTCAATTCCCCTCGCAAACTTTGTTACTCTTTTTTTCCGTCCCCTTTTGTCTTCAGCCCTCTTCCCTTTTGTTCCCCTACAGATTCATTGATTATCTATTTTTTATCTTGACTATTTATTCTCTTTTTTCCCTCCCTTCTCCCTTTACTCCCCAGTCCTTCGGCAGTGCCAGCGCTCCATTAGGCAGCTGTGTTCGGGTTGGCGTGGTTGGAGGCCTGGCGCTGTGCCGCTCTCAGAGTGTCTCAGCAGCCCTCGCCCATCCGTCTGCCCACCCAGCCCCATGGTCCTTAATTAAGGAAAGCTCTGTTGTTTTTGTTTACCGGCCTGTTATATGCTAATCCAGCGAGCCCTGCGTGTTCATGCCCGTCTTTCCTCGATGTCTGCTTGTTACCCTCTCAACTGAGCGTATCATCTCAACAGCAACGACCCGGAGTCAGGTCTGATAGTCTGTGTTCTCATGGGTCAGTTCACAAGTACAGCAACATATTCTCTACCTGACCTCTAGCGGTATCTAGCCATGCAAAGAGTTTATCTGGTCCGACGATCTGTCCCCATCCTTATACGATGGAGATGAATGTCATTTCATTTCATTTCTGGCGCTGACAACTTTTAAATATTGCATTTAAATAATTCAACAGCAACATTTCAACAACAGTATCTCCACAGAACATTTCTATAGGGACTATTTTTTAATAGAAACCAGTTCACAAGCGTGCACTATCAATACATTATCCAGCATACTCCTGTGTTTGTGTTAATGAACATTGATATGACTTTAAGAAAACTAAAATAAATAGTGTATCACCCTGCAGCCCTCTCCAGCTTCTTGTCTTTCGTTAATTAGTTCTGTTTGAATTTAAGTGTAGGTTTTCCGGTTAGTTTTGTCGGATCCTTGTGTGTCGTTCATCATTAGTTCTGTTCTGTTTTGCCCTGTTTGGATCATCTTCAATGAAAGACATTTGCTGTTCTAAGTTTCTCCCTCTTGCGTTTGGGTCAACGCTGCCCTGCCTTCCGTGATAGCATAAGCTCAATATGATGATATGATGAGATGAAGTGAAATGAACAAATTGTGTTCATATGACATAACCAGAATGCTAAACTGGTTTGCCCAATTAAGCTGACCTATTTAAATACCGGTCAATGTCTTCTATACATTGCTAAGCATGATACCCTCTCAGCTGGACATGCTTAAATATAATGATTAATGTCTAGTATGGTGTTTGTAGCTCCAGAATACCCCTCACCTGCATGTTTGTATTAGGAGATACTGTTTGATTTGAGCTTTTACGGAAGATAAAATGGGTCATAAAAATGTATTTTCTACTCATAAAAATAAATAAAGAAACCTACACTCCTGCTAAAGCAAACTGCTGCAACTTGTAAACTGTGTAACGACACGGCTTTAAAAGACTCTCTCTCTGTCTGCCGTACTTGCTCTAACCTTTCCTGTCACTATGAATTATGGGAAGAAGACAAGCAGAGGGAAAAGGCAGCTCTCTGAAGAGGAGGGATGAAAGAGGGAGAGATGGGAGAGAGGAAAAGTTGGAGGGGAATGAAGGGAGGCAGTCAGATCACTAACGGGTGCGGAGGATGAAAAACAGTTCAGGGAGCAAAAGAGAGGAGAAAAGGCAAGAGGAGATCAGACAGCGATCATAGGAGAGCGCAGAGATGAACTTTCTTTTGTATGTCAATTAGAGGGCTAATTTCTCTCTGGTTGGGCTCCAGAGTGAGGCAGCATTAAAGTGGAGCTCAGAGGGATAATAAGGGGCTCTGGGACCATTCTGCTGCTGTCGCTCACTATCCAAACATTGGTATAACAAAGGCACTGCATAACCTAAACAACATGGAGGGTCGACAAGTGGGCTTCCCAGGATTACTGGGCTCCAGAAATAGATGCAGATTAGACCACAGTCCCCAATTTGATGAAGATTTACCCCAGGGAATCCCATTATGGGAAGAGTCCTGCTGCTGTGTTGGTGCACTCAGGAACTGCTTGTGAGAGTGACAACAAGAGAGACTTTCTTAGTTAAAAAATAAAGATTGCTATTTTTCCTGGGGTGACCAATTCCATCACTATCACCACCACCGGAGTCGTTTGTATAGGCGTGAATGTGTGCATGTGCTTGAGTGTGTGTGCTTCTGTCTTACGACCTCCAGTGCTTGTGTTTTCAAAAATATATATTATTGACTGCTTTACACCACCATTGCATCATCATTACCCATTAACTGGTTTGTAATGGCAATTGTAATGGTGATTTGGCTTTTGTGTGTGGCTAACAGCTAACAGAATTAGCACACAGTTGATGTCACTGGCTTGTTTTTTTTTTGTCGTCTCACTTTGGTCTTTTAAATGTAAGTTATGGCGTGGCTTTTTCCAAAAAACACGGTATGTACATAGTATGCTTGCCGTTTGTGTGGTTAAGGTTGTCATTATTTGCTTTTGCTAAGATATTTTATGTTTGCAGTCATTTTGTATTGCTAAAAAGCACATTGACCAAAATGTCACCATCTAGAAGCTAACTGTAATGATGTAGCAAGCTTGTGATCGTCTCACGTATAAAAGAGGAGTTTGTTGGGAATATCCACCTAAGACTTGAAAATGAAATGTATGAATTAAGAATCAATATGAATAAAATTACAATATATTCACTCACTGAAAAATGAAGCTTTCTCAACTATTGCAAATGTCAGCAAACATTTAACGTTTCAATTACTGTACCTCTTCCAAGGCTGTGAATACCACAAGAGGATGGTATTCATATTGACTATTCTTGTGAACATGTAACCCATTTAAAAGCATTAAGAGTCAATTAAACAGGCTTTGTTGTGGAGCACTTGCTGAGACAGACCGAGGGTGTTTCTCAATCTCGAGTACGCTTGCTTGGTAGCACATGTCTGCCGAGCATCTGGCTTCAGAAGCGAGGCAAGAATACTTCCTGGCATTCGGAAAACGAAGAGTGGAACAGGCGAGCAAGTGTGCAGGTGTGCGTCATATGAGAGGCCCCGCCTTACATTTTCCGCCACAGATTTGGGGAAATTGGTCCGTGCGCAAAGCATTGTGGGGATTTTAAGACCGCGGAGTCTACACATGTGCAGCCTCGAAATTTCTCCAAACGAAGTACGCCGGGCTCGGTAGAATTCCAAGTATGCTGGACATTGGAACAGTACGTCGGCGGCACTCGATGACGTAGTATGCTTGAAATAGTGGCTCTGAAGCAGCTTTACTCGAGATTGAGAAACGGCCCCCGGCTGTCGTTTTTTTTGGACAGTCTCCATGAATGTTCTGCAGCTCTGCAACCATGGATAATGGTGAGAACCAACAAGGAAATGTGGAGTGACCATATCGAGAGAACATTGGTCACAGTGTTATATGAGCTAAACCTGTGTCCATCGCTATATTTCAATCTCAAGGTTTTAGTCTGACAATCTCCAGGGTTTTGACCCCTCAGCGGGTTCATACAGTCCAGGTTTCAATAGCTTGTAAAACGAGCGGGTATTAAAACAACTGAGAGGGCATTTAACGCTGTATTTCACAACGTGGCAGATTCAGACAGGCACGCAGACAAAGATTAGTTATAATTCCTCAAGATGGGATTCAAATGACAGAAGTAACACACTCATCCATCCATAAAACAGCGACTGTATTAGTTAAACCAAAAATCCAATCAGTCTAAAGAAATATTGGTCTTTATCCAAGTGTTTAACTTTAATTATAACAAGGAACATTGTTCATTTAGATGAGTTGTTAGAGGGCAACTCTATTTTAAAAGTGATGGGATTGTTTACACTATAGTTAAATGTGTGAGAAAGTGTTACAACAGAGGTGTCTTGCAGTTCATGGGGAGCATCTTGACCCCTCAGCTACATGAATTTATTTGGTATCTAAATGTAAAACTCATTTTGAACTGAAAATGAGCATGTGTCACAGGGTGATGGTGTTTATTTGCACACAACACCAACATGGCACAGGCAAAGACTCCGCTAATGGGAAAATAACATGCAAAGATAAATTGAAGTTTAGAAAACCTTATCAATCCGGATGATGTTTCAAAATAGATTGCTGATCACTGTGCATTGTCCTGTGTTTTTTCAGATGTAACTTTGGAGCAAGACACAGATGGAGATAATAAACAGTTGAGAAACATCCTTCATTCCACCCTTGGAGGGCTACTTCATTTTGTGTGTGTGTGTGTGTGTGTGTGTGTGTGTGTGTGTGTGTGTGTGTGTGTGTGTGTGTGTGTGTGTGTGTGTGTGTGTGTGTGTGTGTGTGTGTGTGTGTGTGTGTGTGTGTGTGTGTGTGTGTGTGTGTGTGTGTGTGTGTGTGTGTGTGTGTGTGTGTGTGCAGTGATCTTAATTGAATATTGATAAGTGAGGCGAGCACACGGGGTAAACAGCTGTGACTGGTACTTCATCATATGTGTGTGTGCATCACTCATTATCAGGCCCAGCTGGTCCTCCGAGACGAGTCACCAGACAGTGACCACACACACACACACACGCACATAGACTCACACTTATTACAGTAATTGACAAACAATTTTGACAGAGATCAAAGTCACCAAAACTGTGTTGAGAGAAGGAGAGGGATTCCCCGGTGGCTTTGTTGTTTGTTCAGTAAACAGTCCTCGGAATATCTGATTTATTCATCACAACTTTCTCTCTTTTTGTCCCTGGGAGGGGTCGCTACCTAAGGTGGGCTAACATCTTCATCATGTTGCCTTGACAACAGAAGCCATCATCTTCGTCAGACGCAGAGCCTTTCTGAAGATGGATTTAGAAATGACTGGCATTTGTTTGGGTGGAAGGAAGAAGTTTAGGTTTGGAGGCTTTACAGCTGCGGCGCAAGTAGCCTAGCAACCACAGGTGATGCTATGGTGGCCGTCAATGGGAGATTAATGAGTTTATTGACGAAAGCAAAACCTAACAGTTATTGTTGGAGATTTTTTATTATTTAGGCCTAGTAGACCTGCTAGCGAGAAAAAGGAGTAACATAATCATTGTTGTCACATATATTGTCCATGTTGTGATTTTATTCTGCACACAGGTCATGGGGGAGTGATCACTTTTAAGGGTTCCCTATTATGCTTTTTGGGGTTTTCAATTAATTGGTTGAATTATTAATATTGTAAAAAGTGTTGTTGACAACTTTCCCTCAGTTGATTCTCCAATACATTCCAGAACTAACAAAATGTACAATCTTTCCCTCTCATCATATCTTCACTGTTGTATTCAATGAAAACAAAAATTACCACCAAAAAGTAAAAAGAACCAGCGCTGCATTCAAACAACATAAGGTTCTCTGTTGGTGGGCTAACAACAATTTTGTATTGCCTTTCACCACATCAAAGTTGGGACTATTCTGCATATAGTGCTCTGCACGCAACTGCAGTCATTTCATGTTTTATTCCATTTTATCATATTGCTATCTTTTATTTCATATTATTTTCAAATCTTATTTTATCCGGCTTTGTTTTTCTTTCACATGTAAAGCATTTTGAATTAATGAAAGGCACTATGCAAATAAACTTGCCTAGAAAAACTGGAAGACAGAATATCTTGAACGCATAAAAATGGTTTGACGTGTACTCCAATGAGTTGCTTTTATTAAATGAAATACCCTGACAGGGTTGATTTGTTTGTGTGGGTTACTTTGACACAGTGCTGTCTTGTTTCATAGCCCTGACTAGCTTCATATTTTTGTCAAATCCGGTTGACTGATAAGAGAAGTGCAAAAAAAAAAAAAGCATATGCACTGAAAGAATGGCATGATGCAAAAAGAGGAAGATATGGATGGACCACAAATACATGTTTTGTGTTGCTGAAGGATGTGGGCTGAGAGAGATTCTTCTCCTGAATAGAGCCAACATAGTCAAACACACACACATAAATACGTCTGCCGTAAGGATTAGGAAAGCTCTGATATCCCTCAGGCTTTTTTTTTTATCCACTGATGGGATATGGTACATTTTCTGCATTTCACACAACATCCTCAGCCTGGTTTATTATGTGGAACACAGGCAGCACAAATTCTGAGTCAATTCTGTCATGCTTCCTACGTAGAGCCTGAATTCTGCAAGAGATGGCCCAATAAACACTGCTGCTGCAACGTGAATCACCTCCTCACACACACACACACACACGCACTGAGGATAAAGTGTGAGTAATGTCTGTGTTTATATTTCATTCATTTGTTTTTTAAAGTGGAAGTGTGACTTTGCAGCATTAATGGATGTTAAAGCAAGAAATCACTCTAACCCCATGAATTGGTTGCTTTTAGGATATGATGCATGCGTGTCACCAGCGTGTGACGTTATAATGCCGTTTCTCTCCGACCTATTTTCAAGTAATTAGCATTAGCTAAGTCTGCACCCTCCTGCAGATTTTTACATTTTGATGGACAAATGCACCATACAGGTTTTTTAAATAAACAATGGACATTAAAGGTCCCATGTCATGGCCATTTCTACTGATCATAATTCCATTGTTGAGGTATACTAAAATAGATTTATACTGTGCAATTTTCCAAACTCACATTGGTTTCTCATACAGCATCTCTGTATAGTATGTGTATTCACTCTCTGTCCTAAACGGCTTGTTGGAGCTCCTGCCCCCCCCCCCCCTCCCTGTGAGCCCAGTGGCCGTCTGCGAGACAGCGAGACACCGCGGAACTCAGCCTGGGCACACACACACACACACACACACACCCGCAGCCTGGCTGGGAGTTTGTGTGTGTGCTCAGGCTGAGTTCCGCGGTGTCTCGCTGTCTCGCCGACCCCACACCAGTGAGCCAGCTCACAGTGTCCCGCTCCTCGCAGCAGCGAGCCTCGCAACGTCCCGCCGAGTGTGTGTGTGTGAGGAAGTCCACGGATTGGTCCATTTGGACCAATCTGCGGAGCCGTTACGTTACGTTACGTCACTATACCCAAATACGTCACTATACCCAAGAAGTAAACAATGGAAAAAGAGAAATCTCCAACGAGGCGTTCTGGGGCAGCATAGACAGGTATTTTCCATGTTAGAGTTTTACTCGCTACAGGGTGTACTTTGAGGGTTTGTGACTCTGCAGACCGTTTACATGCATAAAAAGCTACATAACACACAAGGGGACGGGTAATAACCTGAAAAGCATGATATGGGACCTTTAAGAGCTCTCTGTTTTCTTTGCGTTTTGTGATGAATCAATGCAGACAATACCGGTTGGCTATATTAAAGCCGTACAAAGATTTTGAGCGCTAGCCAATAGAAGCGCGAGTGTGACTTTGTGATGTCGCTATGATACGGAAGTAAACAAAGGAGTCCAATCAAGGCTTTTCAGGCAGGGGGAAGAGTGAACTTTGGGGTTTTAGCCTTTTCAGTTCTTTAAAAAGCTTTATATGGGTCCATCCCACATTGATCCATAACAAAAGGTAAAGAAAACAGACCAAATATATTTTTGTTCATTCCATTTTGTGCTTTTGCCTCTGCACTACAAAACCCATGATGCAATAACGAACAGGTCAAACATTTATGTGGTTGGAGGGAAACTCACCTTATCTTTGAGATGCTTCTGTATTTCAAAAAGGGACATGGGAGTGTTCTGTGGACAACGCCTGAGAGAAACAGACAATTCAGTTAATTCATGTTAAACTGATGCCACCAAACGCCTCTAAATGCAGAAGCAGCACGATATTTCTTTGTTTTGGAAAATGTCTGCTGTGCCGGAGAAGATAAGTGTGTGTGTACCTGGCACTGCTGCAGGCTCTGTGGGCCGTGGGAGCTCGGCTGAACCTCCTCAGAAACTGCATGTAGTCCACTGTTCCACTGCTCCTCTCCCACACCTGCAGCAGACATAAACACGTAAACAAGTGGTGCCACATACTCAAAACACAATGGCGGTGATGATGATGAAAAGCAGGCAACATCCAACAACTAAAGCCAACTCCAAACTTTTCACTTTCTGCGTCTGTGATAATAGCACATATAATGTAGTCTCCGTGGAGACAGTAAGAGCAGCGTGGTGATGTGGCTGGCTGGCGTCAGGTGGGTTGAGCAGTAATTTTCAGGACGAAGCTGTTTGGGGAATACACTAGGTGTCTTTTCACTGGAACGGGGCACACCTGGGAAATGCATCCGCAAGCTTTTGTTCTGACCTTGTGCTGTTTTACACACATACTGTACACGCATGGTGACACACACTTAAAACTGGTTAAAAAAAAGTTGGCACATACCCAAACACACCAAATCCGAGAACTAGTTTTTCCGCACACACATTTAATCAAGCAGACAAATACTTGGCACGCACACATGTATACCTATTTTAGTGGCTCATAATCAAAGTACAGTCCCTGTTGCCCTGCCCTACATCCTTCCATGGTGTAATCCAGTGCAGTGGTCCCCAGCCGAGCTCCTGGCATTGAGTCTTATTATAGACACCACACCATCCAATTATCACTACTATCAGCAGCCACAGAGCGTAATACACACCTCCCACCCCCCAGGCTCTCCATGCTCTATATACCTGTGACAGCGTTGTTACACCTGCAGTTCAGTTTGAGGCTGAAGGTGAGACAGAGGTCAGTGACTGATGGTTTGGAGGGCAGGGGCCATAAGACGTGGAGATGCCTGAATGGCATCAGCTTTGCATAAAATAAAATAAATTGTTAAAGTGGTCCTATTATGCTTTTTGGGGTTTTCCCTTTCCTGTAGTGTGTTATATAGTTTATTGTGAATGTAAATGGTCTGCAAAGGCTAAAATCCCAAAGTTCCCTGCAGAGGGGGTTTCCAGCACACTCCAAACCACCTGAAACACCTATTTTTTAACTTCTGTAACATATTGACATCAAACACTTGCACTTCTATTAGCTAGCGCTCCAACACATTGTACGTGATGGAGGCTGAGGAGCGGGACATCTCTAAGCGGTTGACCAGTCAAAACAGAGCTAACGACCTGACCAATCAGAGCAGACTGGGCTCTTGTTACAGACAGAGGGTTAAAAGAGGTGCTGCAGCACAGGCAGTATGATAAAAAATAAAGACCTTTTTGAACATTAAGCATGTAAACATGTCACAGTAGAGACACAAAATACAAATATGAACCTGAAAAGTATCATTATACTCTCCAACGCATGGTCTGCAGAGACGACACAGGTGTGTATATCTGTATGATTCTGTGTTGTACTCGTCAGTTATGTTGACAGTCTCAAAAAGAGAGATTTAAGCAAGCAAGGACACTGATCTTGAGCTCTGGTGATGCAGGGTATTTCTGTCTTTTTCTCTCATGAGTATGGCTGCCTGTCACCGGCTTCTTCTTTATCATCCGATTTGTCAGAAATGATTGTCTTTTTGTCATCGACCCGCCCTCCTCCCCATTAATCTGTAATTATTCAAGTGACTTTTCATTTACACGCCTATCTATTGCGTATTTAATAAGTGATCAATATTAAAACCAAAAAAGGGTGTGATGAGACCATGTAGATAAATAAAGAATGGAAAAAGAAGAGAAGAGTGGGGGTGGTGTTGTCGGGTTGCTTGTGGCACCTTGCTCCCCCAAGCACAAAGCAACTTCCACATAAAAATGTCACCAGAACAACAGCTGCTACTCCAGTGATAGTACTTTAAAGTAAACTTTCGACAAGTCTCCACGTCGCACACACTCGCACCCGCACAGTGTCTTTAATGAATAAGACGGTGAGTGGGAGAGGTGGGCGAAGGAAGGAAGTGGGGTTTTGTAAGGGGGGTGGGTTTGGGGGGGAGCACAAAGTGCTGATATTATGGGAGGAAATCTGTGTGGGAAAGACAGGCAGTCAAACTGTCAGGCGTGAGCGCTGAGACGGAACAAAGAGAAACAGTGGAGACGATTACAGTGGCGTAGCGTGGAGTGACAGAGGCATCGTGCACACAGATGAAGATAAAGGGAAAGGGGGAATTACGCCGCCATGCACGGACCCCAAACACACCACACACACATGCATGCTCGATTGATCAATGCCATAGAGGAGAAGCATCCGGATACAAGCGCTCAACATTCTCATTAGACCTAATGGATGCAGTGACGACTTTAAAATCCTACATCACCAAGCTATTGTAGCCCAGAGGGTTTTTTCTAATGTATTCCTTCATTTGGCTAAACATCTGCAAGCTGCATGTGATATAAAATATAAAAAATAAATCAGTGGACTACATCATAAGGAAAAACTGAAAGCAGCCAATGCAACAGAGGTGCAAACAAATAACATGTGCTTCAACAGCTGCCAGATTCACTTCTCCTCTGACCAGTCTCCACGGCCACGGAGCATCATTTGTCAATGTCAGATTCCTGGAAGACATAAAACAGAATCTTCTACTGCCATCTTCTGGATGATACCTCACATAACAACACACAGTTTGTAGGCTCAGCCTTTTTGAGCCTCCCATTTGCCCAGATACCATTAGCTCAAACTGGCGACATTAGAGAAATTTGGATACCTCCAAAATGTACTCCATCAATCGGAAAACACTGTCAACAGAAAAACATTTTTGTCATTTTTTTTTAGGAATAAAATGTAATATAAATCAGGCTTTCAAAGGATATAAAAACAAACTCCTCAGGAAACACTTTCAGAATTTAGATAGAAATGAAATGTAAATGGTAGGTGTGTGTGAGTGCCACTGAAAAGAAGATTATAAATAAGAAAAACACTTGTTTTTGTTTGTTTAATGCCTTATGTTTGAATGTGCATTTGCTTATGATAGCTTTTGGTGCATTTAAGAGAAATCTAAAATACATTTTATGCAGGCAAAATTAAATCAAACCCTCAAAATAAAAAAATGCATTGCATCTTAAGTTGCTAATAACACTGCAAACAACCACATGCATCCAGATCAGGAAGTCTGAAACCCAAGGAGTTGCCTCTAGGCTAAATCTTCAATAACCGATGGGTTCCAGGATGCCCGGCCAGGACATGTACGTAGAAAAAAGCTCCTCACCTCATTGAGGCCAGTCAGGAGCTGGGTATCACTGACAGGAAGCAGGCTCTTCAGGACTCGTCTGAACTCCACTCTGCTCACCATCCCTGTACCATGACCGTCCACTGCCATGAAGGCTGACTTAATGTTTGCCAGTCTGCCGTGGATAAGAGGTTCAACCCGCTCCAGGGCGAGCTGCTGGCCTGGATGCACTGAGGGGTCAGATATCGAATAAATATCGAATGTCACTTTTAAGCTACTTTATGGAAATGTAGATAGAGAATCTATTTTAAAAAGCCATTAGTTATAACCAACTCTTGCTTATTAGCAAGTGGAAGCAAACGTCTTAGTATTTCAACACCAGGCCAGGCAATAATCATTGGGCAGAAGACCTAATTGATAAATGTAAAACTATTAAATAATAATAATGCTCTAAGAACAAAATACAGGAGAGCTAGTTGAAGTACAGTAAGGAAGAACCTCTTACCTCCATTTGTGTGTATCCGTGTCTTCCTGTATCCCCCACCTGTATCTGTTCTCGTGACGGAGTGTGTGTTATTTCTCAGAGTAGATATGGACTGTGAACCGAGGACCAGTTGTCCCAGTCCGGGATGAAGCGGCAGAAGCTTGGTCATACTAGGAGGAATTGGTAATTGTGGGACATAGGCAGGAGCAGGACAGGAGGCTTAAACCACAATGGTTAGAGACTGGTTGCTACCACATGAACATGACCTCTCTCTCTTTCTCTCTGTGTGTGGTGTGTGTGTGTGTGTGTGTGTGTGTGTGTGTGTGTGTGTGTGTGTGTGTGTGTGTGTGTGTGTGTGTGTGTGTGTGTGTGTGTGTGTGTGTGTGTGTGTGTGTGTGTGTGTGTGTGTCACACTGTATTTAACTGAACCATTCAGACTTGTTTTGTTGCCACAGCTCACTATTGTCAAACCTATCACCATGGATGCGAAAAACTAATTGTGTACTTTTCTTTAAAATGTGCAATGGCATTACAGATATTTAATGAAAACAACTAAAGACACTGTGTAGAAGAGTTACTAAGTACATATGCTTACTTAACTGATTGTACTCAATGGAGTATTTGTGACACGTGTGAGTATTTAACACATATTTAATCCGACATATAAAACTGTATTTTACCCTTTTTTACTTTTATGTAATTTGCTATTACGTTATATGTAGCCTATAACACTGCTGTGGTTTTTTTGTAGACAAAATATATGATGTCATTTGTTACAGGCTTGGCCTGTCACTTTAAGAGTAGCAGCCGCAAGGGGTTGTGGGTTTTTGGAAGTCCGGTGTGTGTAAAATGTGATGGCCAAGGCGAAGTGCGGAGGTATGAAGAGAGAGACGAAAGTATAGAGAAAGTGGTCAGAAAAGGAGTATAGTGTCTAGTTTGTATGTATTCAATTCAGTGTCCATGTAATTGAAGAACGTAAATAAACGGAGGTTCTTCCCACGGCACCCGAACGCATCGTCTTCATCCTTTTTCCCCTCGAAATATCTGGACAGCTAGTTACCGGCTGACAACGAGCCAAGTCAGAAACCACCGGTGTGTATCCGAAACTACGGTTTCGGTGCCGAGATACCGTCAGTATAAAAGGTAACATTGGGGGCTCGTCCGGGATTTTTTTTGGAGTGGATTTAATGGCAGCGTTCGGAGGTAACGCTAATGCTAATCACAGACTGAGACAAGCTGATGCAGCTAACGGAAAAAGCCCACGGAAAAGCTCTAATCCATTCTTGGTGAATATTGATGAGGCTGTTCAAAGTCAGGTGGACATGTTTGACCAGACAATTATGGATTATACTGGGTATGGGGACTGCACCAACCCCTTTCTGACTAGCATGGAGCTAACGCTAGCCGGAGCCGCAAGCTACGCCACGCCGCCGGAAGCATCACTGGCGCCAACTAACCCTTTCATCATGCCGACAAAGGAGCAAGCACAGCCAAATAGTGAGTTTCTCACCCCCTTTCCACCAAAATGTGACCGTTTAATGAGCATGGTATCAACTTCAGCTAAACCAGCTAATCCTTTCACTTCCATGGACTATAGCCACTCTATGCCGACCATCCCAAGTTACTCAGCTCATTCACAGTGCCTTCAGCCGCCAGTGTCACCATTAACACCCTGTATGCAGCAGCCTGCCACACTGCCTTGTAAAGTACAAGCTCACACATGCTCAGCTGTGCACTGTGGGACCGCACCTGGCCAGTGTGAGTGCGATCAGCCTAACATGAGGAGAGCTTGGTCTGAACCACGCAGCTCTGCAGCTCGTGCAGCACACAGAGAGGACTATATGGACACAAGTGATGAAGATGAACACCGTGGACACAGAGAGAGAATACCAACATTACGCCCAAGCCAGTTTGATGGGGCTGGCTCGTGGAGAGACTTCCTCTTCCATTTTAAAGGATGTGCTGAGGCTAACCACTGGTCAGAGAGGACTATGGCTGTGCATCTCAGATTCAGCTTGACTGGACCCGCGGCTGCCATCATCCACAAGAACCCCAGATCTACTCGCTGGAGTTATCAGCGGATGGTGAGTGAGATTGAGGCGGCCTACGGACCGTGTTCAGAACATGCTGCTGCCATAGGCATTGAACTGAGACAGAGAGTCAGAGGACCGGGGGAGGCCCTGCACCTGTTAAGAGACGACATCTATGAAAAAGTGTCAATTGTGTATGCTGACCGTAATGAGCCGGAGCAGGACGTCATCAGTGTGGAGATTTTCACCAACGCCCTTGCCGATGCAGAAGTGATCCAAAGACTACTGGAGGACAAGCCGCGCACCTTGGCTAGAGCCTACGAGATAGCCCACAGGTATGAAGCCACCAGACGGGCTGCCAGAGCCGTCACACAGCTAATGCAGTCTGGTTATCGCAATGCTGCAGAGCGGAGACCCAGGGCAGCTATGGTGCACGAAAATGCTAATGTTTCCGCCTGTATGGAGGCTTTCGGGGTGGCTGAAGAGTGGGCTGCGGAGCCCGCTAGCACCCAGAGTAAAGCACCGAGGTTTAACCAGCAGTGGTCGCCTAACAGAGCTAAACCTGTACAAATGAACTCTAGAGAAGTCATCTGCCACAACTGCTCTGGTGTGGGGCACATACAAAGGAACTGTCCCTCTTCCCGAAAACGCAAACAGCATGCACCTAATAACACTCCAGCTCCTGACTCAGGTACGGTGGTCACATGCAATAAAGGCTCTGATGATGACATGAGTATCCGGATACTGATACAGGGACATGAACTGTGTGCTCTGCTCGACTCTGGCGCTCGGAGGAATGTACTCCCCCTCCGCCACTTCAACGCCATTCCTGTTGAATCGAGGCCTCAAATCCAGCCATCCATCGTACAAGTATTACAAGGCATCGGTCCCGAGGGCATCGCTGTCCGAGGGGAAGTCAACCTGCCAGTTCAAGCCGGAAGCAAGGTAACCAATGTGAACTTTATTATAGCAGACACAGCTGAAAATACAGAGGTTATCCTGGGGCACCCTTTTCTGCTGCAGTCACATGCTCACTTGGACTATGGTCGCAGGGAAATCACCCTCTTCGGTGAGAGAGTGCCTCGCTCAAAACCCAGCAGACAGCCTGAAGTGCACCTCGTCAGGGTATCCCGCACAACAGTATTGGAGTCGGGGTGTGAGTATGTGGTGCCTGGTACTGCCCGCCTCCGCTCTGCTGTTAACAAAGATATGATGCTGACTCCCACTAAAGGCTTTGTTGAGAGACAGCACGTCCTGGCAGCCCACATTGTTGTACAGACCCGGCATTCCTCCAACATTCCCATGCGGATTTACAATCCTGGTCCTGCATCTGTTACTCTGAAGAGAGGGGTGGTGGTCGGAGTTCTTCAGCCAGCGGAGGTGTTGGGAGAAGTGGATCTCCATCCGACCAAGTCCCCAGTAACATCAGACCCCAATGACTTTCCTGTTATATCTGTGCCCAGTCATCTACAGGACATGTATGCAGAGAGCTGTGCTCACCTGTCTGAGGAGGACAGAGCCGGGCTAGCTCACGTGCTACGGAGGTTCGGTGATGTCTTCTCCACCGGGCCCACTGACCTTGGCCGCACCAGCTTAGTGCAGCACGACATACAGACTACTCCTGGGCAGCCTGTGAAGCAGCCGCCACGCAGAATGGCCAGAGACAAACAGATTGCTGCAGATCTGCAGGTACAGCAGAGCCTGGAGTCTGGTGTAGCTCGTCCCAGCAACAGCAGCTGGGCTGCACCTATTGTCATGGTGAGGAAGAAAGACCAAAGCCCGCGATTATGTGTGGATTACAGACCCCTTAACGAAAGGACTATTAAAGATGCCTATCCCCTGCCACGTATTCAGGACACTCTGGACACACTCTCCAATGCCAGGTACTTCAGTACACTAGACTTGACTTCAGGCTACTGGCAGGTGGAATTGACACCAAGGGCCCGCAAAGCCGCAGCTTTCTGCACTCGCAAGGGGCTATTTGAATGGAACGTCATGCCCTTTGGACTGTGCAATGCACCGGCCACGTTTCAGAGGCTAATGGACAGAGTATTAGTGGGATTGCAGTGGGAGACCTGCTTGGTGTATCTCGATGACATCATCGTCCTGGGGCGGGACGGTTCCGAAATGCTAAGCCGGCTCAGTGAAGTGTTCGCCAGGCTACGAGGAGCTAACCTGAAGCTGAAACCGTCAAAGTGCTGCCTTTTCCGGGAGAAGGTGGGTTACCTTGGCCACATTGTCTCAGCCCAGGGTGTGTCTACTGATCCAGAGAAGGTGAAGAAAGTGGCAGAGTGGCCTACGCCTCGTAACATCTCTGAGGTACGTCAGTTTGTGGGCCTGGCATCATATTACAGACGCTTTGTGGAAAACTTTGCTACGATAGCTAAACCTCTTCACGAGCTGACCAAAAAGTATGCACGATTTAATTGGACAGAGGAATGCCAGGAGGCATTCACAGAGCTGAAAGGACGACTGTCAACAGCTCCTGTCCTAGGCTACCCCCTTGACAGCGGCGAGATGCTTCTCGACACCGATGCTAGTGACTGGGGAATCGGAGCAGTCCTCTCCCAAATCCAGGGGGGTGAGGAGAGGGTGCTAGCCTATGGAAGCAGGAGGTTGTCAGCCACAGAACAAAACTATTGCACCACCAGACGTGAACTTCTGGCAGGCGTGGAGTTTGCCTGTCACTTCAGACAATACCTGCTTGGCAGACCATTCACTCTCCGGACTGATCACAGCAGCCTGCGCTGGTTAACCAGGTTAAAAGAACCAGAGGGACAGCTGGCCCGCTGGCTAGAGAAGCTGGCAGAGTATGATTTTCAGGTGGTTCATCGACCGGGGAGACACCACCAAAATGCAGACGCACTTTCCAGGAGGCCCTGCAGGGAGTCGTGCCCCTGCACAGTGCCAGAGCATGACAGCGAGCGACACCAGCATAAGGGGGTCCAGTGTGACCTGACAGACAGTACAGCTGAAGTTGCCATATATACTCCCACAGAGCAACCTCTAGTGGGGGTAGCTGAGCCAGAGTTTCCTCCAGTGGGGGTAGAGGATGCCTGCAGTGACAACAATAACAACTATGACCTGCTAAATCCAAGCATCAACTGGGTGAGTGATATTCCCAACACCAGTTTATTCT